AACGAGCAGGTATTGCTCGCACTCGCTGCTTCAGCTAATGCAAACTAATGAAATTTTGCAGCAACTTATTACCTATCCTCATATATTAACATATCGCGCACCGCGAACACCGAGCACGAGAACTCTCATTTACGTACTACGTAAATGATATTGCGCTAATTGCCAGCAGAATATTTGCAGAATTCAAAACAATTCAATTTGCGGCAGCCAAATTCGCTGTAATGTAATGACGACTGATATATATTTTATGTAACGTGCAGTTCGCACAAGTTAGATCGTGCGTTGAAATTATCTATGAAATAAAGATTAACTTGTGGTGTGCGCACGCATGCGTGTCCGATACAGAACACGCGCGATGCCGGCGCGATTCTATTTGCCTAGAAGCCTTTTTCACTTCGAATATGTTACCGGATAGTAGAAGGAGGGGCCACTAATATTTTATATTCGTTAAAATTTTATAAGATACATTCGAGCACGCCCCTCTCAGCGTTAACGGGTATATATTTACTCTGTCGGACCTGCTTAATAAATCAGACGATTTAGCGCGAGATTATTATTTTCTCCTTTTTTTTCAACCGTCTGCCTGCATAAGTCAACGCGATCAATGACGACAGAAAGCAACGCGCCGTCCTGTTCAATTTCACCAATTTCACCGAAATATCCCAATGTAATGCAATACATTACATAATTAATTATAATAGAATGCAACGTGTGTGTGCGCGCGCGCGTCAAAAAATTAAAATTCGGAACGTTTTCGGAATATTTTTCACACCAATATATCAGTGTGGGATTTTTTTATGCAAAAAAAAATCACCCTCCCCGTTTCATTTCAACTCGTCCGAGCGTGACAAAATAAATCGAGCATCACGACACTTTATTCTGTATATTTACATAGACTCTTATCGTTATTCGATTTCATCGCGACTGTATACTTGAAAGAAAGAAAAGGGAGGAAAAAAAGAGGCGTTAAGAAAACGCCGTCACGAATATTTCATTAGGACGAATGCCGCGGGATGCCGTGCGCGTAGCCTCCTTGCTATGCGCGGCGAGCGCCGAGCTGCGTGAAATTCGAACAATAAGCATTGATAAAATAATGAAAATCCGGTATGCTACGCTATCAAATATCGAATGCGAATAACACAGCATTCGTTAAAGCAAATTTTCGCCGCTGATGTGTGCCGTAGCGGTAGCCAAGTTGAAAGCAAAATATCGCACACACATATGTACGACCCCGGTCGCGATGCAAGTGTTATATTAATTTGCATCGTGCTTTCAGATTAAGCACAGCACTTACTTATTTGCCTCGAGTTGTAGCCTCGCCCCTAACAAACCCCCTTTTCTCCTCATTCCTTATTCATAGCATATCTATAAAAAGTCGAGGCCGAGATAATCGTAACTCCCGGTTATTTCACTTTTCTAACCCGCGTCTTTATAAGCCGTGTATATAATACAACGTTACCTTTTCCATTTCGCTTCGCATACCGCCGTACATAAATAACGCGTACACTCTTCGCGAATAAGAGCTTCTGCCGCCATCACGGACGCCGTTACCCTTTCTCGAAAAATGTCCGACAAAATGCGGCATGCAAATCTGACGCACAAAAGGAACGGAATCATCGGATGGCATTTATCACTGATACGTATTCGCACGCATCACATCATCTTCACTCGCCGCCGACGCCGCATCCCGACGTCGGAGAAGTTGGATGAAAGATTATGGGATAAGCGCGCGGCGAGTCGGATAAGCGCGCGGCGCTCCGTTACTGCATAACGAAAAACACCAAGTTTACTGATAAAAGTGGAGGCTGCAAGGGAGATACGTGTCAGGACAGCGCGGAGAGGAGCGACGTAAAATTATTTTAAGGAAACACTCTCCAAGTAGTTTGGCGCATAATCGTGCCGATGACACCGCGCGCGAGTAAAGACGTCGGGTCGGCGAGACAGAGAATTCGTTTGCGTTGTGTGTCGATGACACTTTGCCAAAAGAAACGGTACGTCGTCGTTGATGCGAAGAAATCGCATTTGACTCGGTGCGAAAAAAAAAGAGGAGAGAAAAAGACGAAATTACGGGGAAAAGGGGAGACGCGTGTAATGTTGCGCTCTTCAGCGAAATGGATAAGATACTGTTTAAGTCGGTGGATTCTCATAAACTCGCAATTCAATTAAGTGACTAACACATCCCCCCCCCCCCTTCGCCGACATCTTTGTGATTACAGTTCTGTCGCAACGGAGAAAAAAGGGAGCGGGGAAGGGAAGCGGGAAAGAGATGCAAGAAAAGTAAATTAATAAAGTTCGCGCGGGGCAGAAAAAACGGGAAGCGAGAGGGAGGAGACCGTACTTGGTGTCTGAACTTCTTCCTCTCTCTTTCTCGAGATATATATATACAATTCTTTTAGCATATTCTAATTCCGCTTTACATATCTTTATGCTCCAAATTTATGAATATTTATTTACTTACCCCGATTATACGCAAACGATATTCTCAGTGATATTCAGAATATTTTAACGTAAAAAGTGATTAACGCGGAGAACATACATACATCCTCTTTTCGTAGCGTCATACATACATGCGCGCACAACCCTTTATCAGCGTGGGTTCAAATGTTCAATTTATGAATGTTCGCTTACTTACCCCCAATTGTACGTAAGCTATAATCTCGATAGAGTTTCGGATATCTCGCGTGAAAGGTTATTAACGGAACATACACGATCCCGGCATGCATTTTGCTTCGTTACCCGCGTGTAGTAACCCCTTCGCTTTCCCAAAATTACTCTCGGCGTGTCCCCCGACAATGTTCCACGCTGGGAAAAAGCCATCTTTCATTTCCCATTCCCTTCTTTTTTTATTCAAGGTAACGTGCGACTGAGGTTACACAACCACCACTGGCGCGATTAAAATTGTTCAACGGCTCTTAAAGAGAATCACCCGTGACGCACAGGTGTGCGCACGTACTCTCTCTCTCCCTCCCTCTCTCAATTTTAACATCGATTAACGCGTGCTTTACCTTACATAGAGGCTCCCAACATAAAGCGGATCAATCTCGAGGGAGACGCGCGCTCGGCGTTTTGAAATATATTCGATCGTTTAATAATGCATAATAACCGCAAGACTATTACCGACGAGGTAGTTTCCGCTCTCATTGCGCGTCCTCCCTTCGCACAAACGTATATTCACGCGTGTCGTCGTCGTGTCTGTTACAGCGCGAGCGTTAAAGCGCGCGACCGGACAAACGATCTTCTACGCGAAATATCGAGCCGTAAACAACATCCTCGACGTGGAGAAGTAATGTTTCCTTTTTTACTCTCCTCTTCTTTTCCGCACGTATACACACACACCTGGCGCGGAATACACCGCAACGCGCGATCTTAATTTTATCGACAGGTCCTCCGATCAATTCCAAGTCGAATTTTTCGTGGGGTAAATGTCGCAGCACCGATAGCCTCCAGAGTTACGAGCGATCGAGAGAGAGAGAACCGGGTTCGATCCGCGAAGCTTCAAGCTTCGGACGAACAAATAGATAGCGGATATATCATATTCCTCGGTTAATCTCGAGTACTTTACTTTCGTAGAATTTTAACTCGACATTTAGCTACGATGGTGTATGAATGTTGGGAAATGGTCAATAACTTCCCTCGATACTTTCGGTGAGTAAAAAAATCGATTGTGAAATGGTGAAAGAGAGTTTATCGATAAAATTAAAAGCTGTGTGTAGGAAAAGTATGGAGGAGGAATTTATATTCTATACGTATTTAAAGATTATTTAATATTCGGGGATTATTCATATTACATTTTAAATTTGTGTATGACACCGTACTGCCGAAATATTTTGCTCCGAAATCAAATTGAAAAAATAAAAATGAAAGTTATTTATGAGGTCAAGCCAATAATACCGCAGAGATGAATTTCACCGATTCGTTGCATATTGTACATCGTGAATCATAAAGCACGTTGGTCGGCGAGAAAAAGAGAAAGAAAGAGTGAGGAGGAGAGGGAGGAGGAAGAGAGAAACAAACCAAGTTTTTATACAACTACTCAAAACGTTTGATAGTACTTTAAATATTCCACGAGACCGCGTCCGCATACCGCGCATCCTATGAATTTGTGAATACCTCGAAACTGCATAAAAATAGGTAAAGCAGTATGCATATATACGGCCAGCTCGCCCAGCTCTTAGCACAGTCGGATGAAAAACTGAATCCCGCGCGCGAACCCGAACATTCTCGAGGCTTAATTTCACACACAAGTTGTACATCGTGAATCTTAAACCATGTTCTTTCCTTCGTGGAATCTTACTTCGTCGAATTACTCTCGTCGCGTCGCTATTTCTTCCGAGAAGGTGTATTCCGAGAAAGCGTATGCAGAAAAAAAAAGAAGAATGGAAGAGCTCCATTTTATGCGGAACGAGCACGTTTTTACCCGCGTTTTAACCTCGCGGTGTCGTCCGTTAAAACGAATTGAATACACAACTATATTAGGATAACGTCGCACATCTCGTATCAGTCTCTTCGTAATGCATAATTCCGACGCTCAAGGATAATTATATTACGCCAACTCACACGCATATATATAATTTCGCCAAACGGCAGAATTGAATAAGCCGCGTGTCAAATGTAAAGGTCGTTCGCTTTTAAGCCGAACGCAGCAGGGGCGAAAACGCGCACGAACAAATCGTCCGCAGTGTAATCATTAATGTAGACGTAATTAAAGAGCTTATATCATTCTCGTGCCGCCTTGAATGTCTATTCCAAAAACACCGGCGTTACATATCATGTAGGTCACGTAGAGGACGTAACACAGTGCTCGCGAGATAGGGGGGGGGGGGCGTTTCTACTTTTTTAGAGATATGGATTCAGGACAATATTCGATATATGGGGGGATAATCGAGAACAAGCTCTCCAATTACGCTGCTCCAATAACGTGACGGTTTGCTCGAAATATTTCGAGCGCGGACATGGGACGCGCGCACGGACGTCTCTCTCTCGTACTTGTTCGTACTCACCGTGAACGTGTCCGAGCAGGAGCAGGAGCGACGCGATGAACCAGGGATGACTTCTCGCCGACATGATCTCCGCTCTATCCGCGATCACGCGCGAAGTTTATCCCGAGAGCATGAAGCACTTCACTACGGAATACCAGCAAGAACCTCATACACGCACCTTATGAACACTCGCCGCGGCGTCGATGCACAACGTCGTGTATCAATGGATGACTTTATTTTAGGTCCGCTCGTCTTAGCCGCACACCGTCTGCACACATTAAAGCGACATATTTGAATTTGAATATCTCAATTCAAAATGGCGGGCGCGCTCGCTCACACACACACATTTGAATTTGAGAGTGGTAAGTGAGAGAGTGAAAGTGTGTGTGAGTAACGGCGGAAGAGTAGAAATTGCAACGAAAACGAACAAACCTCTCGTCGGTTAAAGCTTCCTCTGATGAGATGGGGAGAAGAATGGGGAAGGGAGGATGGGCGGCGAGCTTCCTCCCTCCTTGTGGACGGATCAGCGTGCGGAACGACGACTCGCGACAGGAAGCACACGCGACGATCCTCGCGCAACGCGGAACGAAAGCGAACTGAGCTACCACCATTGCGCGCTCCGTCCGATCTCCGTATCGCGACCCCCTTCACGCCGAACCGAACTGCCCCCTCGCGTCGCACCGCGTGCACTCCCACCCACCGACGGTTTCCAGTTATAACCTCCCACCCCAACTACCTACCCTTTGCGCTCGCCCTTGCTCACCCCTCGCACGTTTCGCGTTCCACCGTTCGCACCATCAGACAAACCGCCCCTCTTTGCGTTCGGAACTTCCCCTCCTGACACTTCCGGGTAGTGATGGCCTCAAGACTGGCGCTGAATCTCGTTTCGAATATACAGCGGAGGTTAACTTACGTATCCTTATGCGCCTCGAAATCGTTCTAATTTCCCAAGTTGCCGAAAGCGCAAGTATCGATTATCGATTATCGAAGAGTAGTCAATCAGTTCTGTGATCGATGCGAAATCGATTAAAGCTGTCGAAAATTACTCTATCTCCTCGTCCTTCTCTCTCTCTCTCTCTCTCTCTCTCTCTCTGTCTCACTTTCGTCCCAGTTATATATAAAAGTTATATATATGTATATATATATAATTCAATGCAATGACAATATAGCTGGAACGATATTAATAATTATAATTAATAATAATTAAATATATTAATAATTATATAATATATTATATATATATATATATATATACTTATTTATTTATTTATTTATGATATATATAATGTATTATATATATATATATATATATATAGAGAGAGAGAGAGAGAGAGATAGAAAGAGAGCTATTAAAATCGATATCTCGCGCAAAAATTTCTCAAGATCAGCAGAATATCGTGCTATGATCAGCATGGATCTACATTTTCATTCATTTATGTAACCCACATCCACACGTAGGTTATTGTACATTTGCGGTTTTCGAGACGATATTTCACGCATCTATCCGGGCGCAATCGACCAGAGAGTAAGTTTCGGTTTCGAACGGTATTCGAAGCCATTCGAATCTCCGCGCGTGATTGAGCTGCTTGGAAAACTTAAAAGATGAATAGAGCGATAAATTTCTTTTACCTTGGGGCTAACGTAACTCCTTTTGGCGCGCACAGAAATACAAGTGGCCGGAGTGCGCGTATACATACGGCGAGTAGAAAAAAAAATCTCTTTCCCCTTAAACAAATGGAAAGCACATAGATTCGAGTGCCCATCACTACTTCCGGAAGGACCCGCCGTCGCCGCCGTTTGCAACACGCTTTTCGCTCATTTTTCTATCACTACGTTCTCTCCCTTTTTTCGCTTCTTGCCACCCGCCCTCTCTCTCTCTCTCTCTTCGTAGTCAGCAGTCGTCCCCAGACTCCCCCTTGATGCATCACGATATCGCGCGCCGTGACACTACCAACATGCTCGATTCCTACGTGTCAATTTATTGCGTCTCCAGTTTATCGAACATGGGATTATCGCGTTACGCGACCCGCCATATCCGCCCGCGCGCATTTTGTCACCCGCTCGAGTATCTCCCGCGGATAATGTAATACGTTTTACCGTGCGCGCGGGTCATATCGATCGTGTTACCTCCTCAGAATTGTGTAATGAATCGTGACATTTTACCAGAACTCCACACGGAAGATACAATTGTGCTCTATTTGATTCTCCCGATATCCTTTGGTGTATTCCTCTCCTCCCTGCCATGCACCTCATCATCCGCTGAAATGCACCCGGCGATGATATTCATGTTGCATATGATATTACGAATGCTATTATAAAACACAACTGACGCATTAAAATTTACGGTTTATCGATTTTTCCCGATGATACGATTTTGTCTCTTGTCTCTATTTTATTATTTCTTTCTCCTTCTTCATCCCCTTTTCGCTATTCCTGTATTCCGTTATTCCTGTTCATTAATAGTAGAAGCGAACAGTGGGGTGGAATTTTACAACGTCGCGCGATTCATGGAAAATCTATAAATGTAACTTCTTCCTCGATTCTTTAATCTCTGATAGCCGTCGCACTGTTGAATTACTGAGCAACGATGGTATATTGCCGAAAGTGAAATTACTTCCTTCAGGTAATCTCGCTTTAATTAAACTTTTTTGCCCCATGGACATCCGTTTCAACCGAAACAACCGAATTCACGAATAAATAAAAACTGTTCCTACGGCGAGTGTAAAATTTATATAGGAGCTGAAACGCACGATCGGTGGCGTATAGGATTTTAGATGCGAGTGTTGCAATGTTAATATTAATACAGAAATGTCAATAATGGAACTTCCATTCTTGTTTAGGCAGTTTTCGGGATCGGATGTCGTCTAGATATTCGCGCATAGTGACTGTGAAAGGATCCGAAGGTTTGGCAATCGTACTCACAGTCGTGCATTAATGGTTGCTTTCCAGCAGGAGACACAAGTCAACATGAGTCTAGTTACATCATCATTTGTCCTTATCTCGCACTTGGTGAAGGAGGAGAAGATAATAAATGATATAATTAGACTTGTCGACTCGTGTCTTTTGCTGGAAAACGACCAATGCTGTCCCCCCATCAGTGTGTGGAAAGGAATGATTTTGTCCCACTGCTATCTAGTGAAGTATATACGTCACAAAAATATTGAGTACTATTAAGGCCCTTATATGAGAAAGAAATGCAAAGACTGTAAAATAGAGGGAGATAGAGAGAGAGAGAGAGAGATGATAATTTTTTTGTAGTGAATATTCATTTATTACAACTGATTTGCCGATATACACAAGATAATGGCGTTTAAAATATCTTTAATATAATAATCGATATGAAAATATTAATAATATAAAAAATTGTATCTCGTCCCATCAAGCGCTCTGCATTGATCGATATTTATCAGTCAAATCTTACATTTAAGACCATCTTAAGTTTATCTTCAGATGTTCCACGGTTCATTTCATTGGCTACGAAGCATCTATAGATAAACTTAAAATTTATCTGTAAAATCCAATTATGAATACCGGCCACTATATTTACGTACGAGTCTGTAAAGGCTCGTGACAGATTGTGACGTGTGTTAACGCACAAGGGACCGATGGAATAAAATCGTCTAAGACATCCTCAGATTGTGTCCATTTCTATAGTGATATCGGAAATTTCAAATTATATTTATTATTTAAATTGCATTATTTATTAATTATTTATATTAAATTTCATATTATTTCTGAATACTCGTGCATCATGACTATTGCATGATTATTCTGCGAATAGATCAAGCTCCAAAGCAGCATGATGTACGAATATTCAGGATGGGCAGAATGCTCTTCAAACATCGATGTTCGCTCATTGAGGATGATATTGCATCTAGAGAAAATATTAGGGACTCTAGAAATTCTCTATCCGACCAATCGGCACATTCGTAATCTAGTAAGCTAGATAAAATAATAAATAAAGCAGAAACCGTCGATTACCAGCGCGAGTTTTGATTGGCTGCTGCTTTTCTGCCATGATGTGAATTCTGCCTTAATCTTCGGCTCTAAGCACTGACATTGTAACATAAATTTCAGCAAAAAACGTTCCCAACATTAGCAAATATCGCAATTTCAAAAGTTGTTATTATGAAAACGCCTTTTATCAGGAACTATATTAGATCTGATCGCTCAGGTCGAAAGAGTAAAAGCTTACCACACCTGTATTCATCTAATCAACGATTTAAAATCGCTGTCAGTCTCAAATATCACCCGCTCTGTCTAGCTAATGCAGAAATCACTAACTTCCCGATTATTACGGTTAAACAAATGACAGGACTGGAAGTTTTCATTATTATTCATCGATTATCCTCATGAAAATTAGCCGAAGTTCCTCAAGCTCGTGAAAGAAATTGAATTTGAAATGCCGCATTCGAGCGATCCTTTCGCAGGGATGAAACGTCGACCGATGCTCAATCGAGCATCGGCCCATTCGGGCGGCCAATCAACGCCTAATCAGCAGGGAGATGATAGCGCGGCCACCATAACTGTTTACACCGCCTGCTCGCTTTGGCGAGCGCCTCCGTCATCCGTCGTTATCATCCGCACCACCACCACCGCCGCCGTCGCTCTCTCCTTCACCTCCGTCGCGCTGTACGCATCGAAAATGAACGGCCGACGCTGGTGACGCACGCGGATTGAGTCGTGCTCGCGGAGAAGGGAAGCTAGGACACACGCAGGATGCTGTGGACCACAGCGATCGGAGTCCTGTCGAGCGTGCTGGCCGTCACGGCCACTCTGCACTCCACCGCCATGGACGGCGGCGGTGGCGATCCGCTCGCTCATCACGGCCGCTGCGAGCCCATCACCATTAACCTCTGCATGAACATCCCGTACAACGAGACCATAATGCCGAATCTCATGAATCACCAGAAGCAGGAGGACGCCGGCGCTGAGGTGCATCAGTACGCGCCGCTGGTCAAGATGAAGTGCAGCCCGGATCTGCGTTTCTTCCTGTGCACCGTCTATGCGCCGGTCTGCACCATCATCGAGAAGGCGATACCGCCGTGCCGGTCGTTGTGCGAGAGCGCGCGTTCCGGCTGCGAGGGCCTGATGAACACGTTCGGCTTCGCCTGGCCGGAGGCCCTCGACTGCTCCAAGATGCCGGAAAACGGCGGTCCCGATCTCTGCGTCGGGACCAATGACACGTCGACTCAGACGGAGTCTGCCGGTCCGGCCTATCCGCCGCCTCGTATGCCGGTGGCGGAGTTCCAGCCGTCCTGGAACGAAGGATCCAAGTCATATGGCGCTGCCGCCGGTGGCTTTGCCTTAGGCGCCAGGGACTTTGGCTTCGTCTGTCCGGTTCAGTTCAAGGTTCCCCACGGGCTGGGTTATTCGCTGAAGGTCGGCAACAAGGTGGAACCTGATTGCGGAGCGCCCTGCGACGGTATGTTCTTCACCGACAGGGAAAAAAGGTTCTCCAGAATATGGGTGGGCACCTGGGCCTCCATCTGCGCAGCCTCGTGCTTCTTCACTTTTCTGACGTTTCTCATAGACACGGATAGATTCAGGTGAGATTGTCACCTTTCTGTTCGTCGCGTATTTGCTAAAAACCGTTGAATCCTAGGTATCCTGAGAGGCCCATCATCTTCTTGTCGGTGTGTTACCTGATGGTATCGTTGGCTTACGTGGTCGGATGGGCGGCTGGCAACTCCATATCGTGCAGAGAGCCCTTCCCACCGCCTATGGGGATACGCATACAGATGGCGTCGACGATAACTCAGGGTACCAAGTACGAGCTGTGCACCGTGCTCTTCATGGTCCTCTATTTCTTCGGCATGGCCTCGAGTATCTGGTGGGTCATCCTCACCCTCACGTGGTTCCTGGCAGCCGGCCTGAAATGGGGGCACGAGGCGATCGAAACGAACTCGCAGTACTTCCACTTGGCCGCCTGGGCTGCACCAGCCGTAAAGACCGTCACTATCTTAGCTATGGGAAAAGTGGAAGGTGAGGAGATCAAGTTTGTATTGTTCGAGAGATTGTAAGGAAATGAAAGAAAACGTTTGCTTACTATACATTGAACAAGAAGAACTTTGAGATATTTGTTTCTTGAGGATGTGAGTTTAATGAAAGTAGGATTATTAAATCCAGACATTACACAGGAAGGATTTTTGTCCACAGGTGACACACTGTCGGGCGTGTGTTACGTCGGTCTCTGGAACGTGGAAGCGCTGCGAGGCTTCGTATTGGCGCCGTTGTGCGTCTACCTTTTCCTGGGCACCCTGTTCCTGATGGCCGGCTTCGTGTCGCTTTTTCGCATACGCACGGTCATGAAGCACGACGGCACGAAGACGGACAAGCTGGAGAAACTGATGATACGCATCGGCATCTTCTCCGTGCTCTACATCGTGCCCGCCATGATCGTAATCGCCTGCCTCTTCTACGAGCAGACGTATTTCGATCAGTGGATGCTTACGTGGAATATGGAGATATGCTCGCGACCGGGACTGCAATCCCTCTACTCCCTGCCGTGTCCGGTGGGAGAACGTACGCGCGATCTCGGCTACAGGCCCGAATTCGAGGTATTCATGATCAAGTACCTAATGGCGATGATTGTCGGTATCACCAGCAGCTTCTGGGTGTGGTCCAAGAAGACGCTTACCAGTTGGAAGCAGTTCTTCCATCACATACAAGGACGCCGAAACGAGGCCTATGTTTAGTAATCCCCCCTTCGATAAGCTTACTATGGCTGATGTATGTAGGAACTGCCAATCTTGAATCTCTTCGGGGGAGGATTTCAGCGTTTCTCTACGTTTTAAGGCCTCTGCTGTGGCGTGTGGTGCCGCAAAGAGATAACGAAAATGATAATCGTTCGACTTTGCGCAGAATAACAGTACTGGCGCGTTGTGTCCCTCCGTAATCCTCCTGCGTAGATCTTTGCGATTATAAGTATTTGCGAGACAAAGAGGGAGGAGAATTCTCTTGACGCTAAAAGTACGCTCGGGATGACATCTCGCGAGCCTACTTACGATATTATTATTATTGAGATGTGTATATTTAACGAGATGACTGCGTTATTAGCAGCAGAAGTTCCCCCTCCCCCGCGCGCCTTCCAGGGACACGTTCTTCCATCCGAAGAACATCTAGTCTTTATTCTTTTTTTATCACGACTTATGAGCGAAAATTCGAATCGACACCGCGCTTTACGCTGATGGAAAAGTCGACGGATTTCAATTGTCTTTACATTTGCGGTCTCTGAAATTCCGGGGAACTCCTGCTTTATCGATGGCAATCGTCGTCGAATGCTGCAATATTTCATTATTACGTTACGTTCGTCGTTTTTCTTGTACGTACGTAATCAAAAGCACGTATCGATAATGCTGTGCCAAAATGAATTTCTCCGATTTTCGGAGCCGAACGCATGTGATATATGCGAATCTGTGTAAAAATATCTCTGGGGGAGACTGTGAGTACTCGAAATGTGTGTCGATCAGTTCGAAAGTATTATTAGACGATGTTTGTTCGTTGTTAAGTAACGTTCGTTTATCTCGTCCGTCGTTACGAGCTCTCGACTCTATTTTACGTTTAAGTTGAATATGCTCAAACGACCGTCGTCAACACATACACACGAGCCGCGAGTGTCCAAAGTTCGTGAAATAACCGATATCCAAGGACGTTTAACGCATTCTGCGCCGGATCAATTTCATGCGACTCGATATCTACGCCGCACGATACGTCGGTGGCGAATCCACGAGACGACGACGAGATTTTTGATGAAATTTTACTTGCGTCTTACCGTGTAAGTCACCGTATAAAACGGGTAACATTGAATGTTTATAGATGCATCTGACAAATACATCTATAACATTGATTATTCAAACGTTTCCCTGACGGAATAGAATTTTATCAGACGTCATCGCAAATCAAGTCGCGAGTGAGTTCGACTTTTGTAAGCTCAAATCTAAGAACGCTTAATAAGTTGATCGTAACGATCGATCCCTGCTCTACGTTATTTTCCACCGTCGAATTCTCCCGTTCTCTAATTTTCATCGATTACGCAGAACTGAATTCTATTACGCTTAATGTTTTTTTTTTTTTGAGGCGCATTTAGAAGACGCGTAAAAAACAATAATACTCAGGCGAAGAGACTCTCTGACGGTTCTCCGTTCAGCTTCTTTTTACATCTACTCATTAAGAGCCCCTTTTGCTAAGGACTGTCAATTCTTTTTCACCGCGGTGACAACGGGTCTACTGCTGTAATAATAATACGACAGTATTTCCGCCTCCCGACGGAATCTCAGCGAGATTGTAAAACTTGAACCCGTAAGAAGTGTAATACCTTTTAGATTAACAAACTGTATATAATTATATATGTTTTTTTTTTTTTAATTCTTTACTCTCTCTATGTATTATAATATATTTTTAAAGAATTTTGTACATATATATGCGACGCGTGCGCGTCGCCATGAAGGTGTACGACAGCGTCACACATTTCCTACGCGCGATTTAAAACGATTATGCGAACAAACCGTGAATTCGTCCATCGAAACTGCCGAGCTTTTGTGTACGTCGTGCAAAAAAAAATTCGCTCTGCGAATAATACGTGTATAATTAGACATAAAAGCATATATAGTGTGTGTGTATATATATATATATATATATATATATCGAATGTGTATATATATATATATATATATACATCACGGTACACGCACGTAACATACGAATACTTCACAAGAACATCAACGAGAAATATTGCAATTGCATCTTTTTAGCGTTTCCAATATTGACTTTTGTTTCAGTCGTTCGGCTTTCATTCGATGAATGAAACTCCAAAAATATGATCTTACAAATATGTAACTTTAACATGCAATCTGCAATATTTCGTATGTATCGTGCGTGCACGTGTAATTTATAATAGAAAGCTCCTGCAAAAGAAACGAAAGTGCAAGACGGTTCTTTTGGGAAATTTCGATTTTGCATCTGGAATGCTTTTATGAGTGCCGTCAAACTTGAATATTATCGTGCGAGAAATATATTACGTGACGATATGTAAATTATGATCGCTATATTCTTTATATAATAAATGAGGTGCATATGTAAAGAAGCTTTCTCGTGCTCTTTTAACATATTTTTTTATTTACAGGTAACGATCTTACAAAAAATATCGATAACGCCCGAATATTCATGTAAATTCGTGTATCTCTTCACACTCGCTCAATCGTGCAATGATGCGTGTACGACGTATGAATTCAAATTTAACAAATGAAACGGGAAAAAAATAGATCTCCTCTGTTTCAACTTGATAGTACTCAAATGGTGACAAGATTTGCAAACTTCACGAACTACCAATTCGATTTGAATTTGTAAAAAATACGCGGCTAATTACAAGCGATCTCGTAGAAAAATCACATTCGTGTTATTTACTATTATAACACCGATATAAACTAAATATAAACACCAGTTACCGGTTAGATAAATTTTCTCCTCGCAGCGACATTCGTGGTTTTTTGATGTTATGTTTTGTAGCGAGAACAGCCGTAGGAACGACTAGAGCTCGAAGATGTCGGTCGTTTCGGTATTTTGAGCAAGCCAATTCTCCTCAGATACTTCACGAGCAGCGGTGTTACTGCCAGGGTTATCGATATACGAACAGGCGCGAGTATTTTGTGCACGGTGTATGCTATGACGAAATCCGTCGACACTTTTATTATTTTGTCCACCTCCTCGCTGCCGCCTGTAATTTTTCGCGCGAACGACATCACGTCTACTCCGCTGAAATCAAAAACAAGCGAACATCTTCGAGATGCTTTTCTGAAAAACTGAACAATAAAAATTAAATGATCAATAGCATCTATATGATCATAAAACTAATCTACACAGGGTGTCTCATTTTAATGGAAACAGTGAAATATCTTGAAAACAATTGATAAAAAATGGTTTGGACAAAAGTTGTAGGGTTTTGAGAGGGCTATAAATTGATGACCTCAATTTCGTCATCAATAATTCAAAATCAACATCATTCTTTTAAATAGAACTGTATAGTTTTTTTTTTTAACACAAATCGATTTCTGTTTATTTTACGTATAAAAATACCAGGATGAGATCATCAAAAAGTGAGTACTTTTCAAAGTATTTCACTTTTTATTCCGATAGTTTTCAGCACAAGATATGAGATATGTCTCGTAAAGTATTCGCCTTATTAACATTTTTGTACGTAGAATGACAGGTAGAATCGATCACTGTGAGCAAACATAGAAGAAACTTTTGAGAAAATTCATTGCATACGACGAAGCGAACCTACGAACATAGCGCAGTAGATGGTCAGACAGTTGTCAAGATTGTGTATGTAATTTTGACATGTACATGTCTAATTTTGTCAGCTGTCTGACCTCTGTGCATATTCGTGAATCACAGGTTCGCTTCGTCATATTTTTCGTGCGTTCCGAATATGCAAAAAAAGAACTGTTGCGACCGATTATGCAACAAAGTTAAGATCACCAACTTACGCCCCCCCCCCCCAAAACCCTACAACTTTTGTCCGAATTTTTTTTTGTCAACTGCTTCGTTCTCAAAATTTTCATCTCCAAAATGGGACATTCTGTATGATAAAAATGAATAAGAGACGAAAGAGAAGTCAGATATTTTATCCTGCAAGTCGTACCATGAAGAGTACAGAAAATGTTAAAGGGAAGATGCGCGAGAAGCAGAGTACAAGGAGTGCTCCAGAGGTCGCCCACTCCGAGGCATTTGGAATCCACTTTGTCTTCCGGAAAAGATCTCTCTCTTTCTCTCATTCGGTCGAATGTCCAGAAAGTGGGCGATTTCTGGATCGTCCCGGACACGGCAGACTAACCTAACGACCACCATGTAGCAAGCACCGAGGCTTATCAACGAGATAGTTATATGAAAGACGAACATGGTGACTCCGTAATCCCTTAGCATTAGTCGGAATCTGTCCCGCTTCGACACTGCGAGCTTTGACGCCTGCGTCTGGTCCTTCACGCCATCCTTGAGCGTTTTGGACGCGTCGGTCGAGTATGTCACCCTGATGGTGTACCGCACCGGCCCATGTGTCGTTCGCAAAAGCTGCCTCATTATGGAAATGTTAATTGCAGAACCTGAACCTGAACGGCAACACAATTCCACCATGTGAGTCTCCAATGCCCTAGTCACGGTTCGCTCGGTTTCTAACGTTATCGCTTCGGATGTAACTGAGTTTCTTTGAGTCCTAGATGAGGAGCACAGGAATCGTCAGATTGTTGTTAGTTACAAGAACGCAAATATCCGAAGATCTCAATGTCGAGTTTACTAGCAATGTGTGTTCATATATAAGGTGAGTCCAGTAGGAAAAAAGGACGAGTGAATAAGTTAAAAAAAAGAAAGTGACTCATTTTTAGAGAGAAGAAAATTCGGAATCCACTTAGAGGTACGTCCCTTTCTATCGGATCCACCTTGCTCGCTCTTTCCTTCCGATATTTCGAGAAAGAATGAAAGCACCTCTACCCAGAGAGAGAGAGAAAGCAAAAGCGGCTCTTACACGACTCCGGACGCAGGTTGCGGTAGTGGGATCTCTGCATGTCCTCGGCGATGTACTTGCCGCCGCGGGTCCACTGACCGCCGGGCATGTTGAGATGGGTGGACCTCAGCACCCACGCGTGCGTGCCGCGCGAGCGATACGGCTTGGGCACGTTGGTCTGCATCGTGCCGCAGAGACTGACCGCGCCGAAGCAGTCGTACGAGTCCACGTGACCGTTGTCGTGGATCTTGGGGTAGCCGGTGGCGTTCGCGACCGCCAGGCCGCCGTTCTCGCTGTACAGGGCGATGTCGCGCGCCCGTTCCGGTGTGAAGCGGCCCGTCTCGTTGGCGAATATGTCGCGCATGTTGCTCGGCAGGTCCAGCTGCGGCGGCTCCGGGTAACGACGCACGCTCGTCACATGCAGCTGCTCGCGATGAATCGCCGCCGGAGTCGCGCGCTGCATCTCCAGAGCCATCGCTGGAATTTGCAATGGACGGATTGGAAAACGACGCGAGTGAATATCATTTCTCTGACCCGCGAAGTCGCACGAAGAAGGAAACTGACCAATCTAATATAGAATTCTTCCTCCGCACGGATCATGATTGGAGTTTGCTTTGACCTTTATGATGCAAAAATGTTATTAGAATGATAAAGCTATTAAACGATATAGGATGAACCATATGATAGCACAAGATATCTCAAAATCATCCAGAGTGCGTTCAGGATAATCTTAGGATGTTTTGTGAAATCTTGATATATTTCCAAAACTGATAGTCGTCAGAATATATTTGTACTAAATTTACATCTGCCTTATATGATTTATTCTATGTATTATATACATATAGGATTATTATGTAATTTGAATGTCACCGCTCAATGTACATCTTGAAGAGACATAAGAGCTTGATAAGATAAAATATTTCAATAATAATTAAAGCAACAATTGTGGTAGTGTAATTATTAAAAGTAATCATTTCTATTTTGGATATATACATATCTGTTATAGAGAAAGCTAAGAAAGCAATATATACTATCTTAGTTGCCAATGCTGCTACAATGCAAAATAAATTTTTGTGGTTCCAAAAACAATATGTAAATGCGATTTTATCGTACTTTATCACACTTTGCTAATTGAGTAATCAAGTAATCACACGTATATATTTATCAATTTAATTCCTGATCTTTTTAGACACTCCCTTACAAACAAAATTCCGTTATGAACTTTGCTGCTCAAATTATGGATCTTTCAAAGTAGACCTCAAATACATATCGTAATCTAAATATTCTTCAGAAAAATATGCAATTAATTCTACAAGAAGAATTTGTGAAGCAAATAATGAGCACAAGGTAAGAGACAGAAAAAAAACACATTTAGACAAGCATTCGGATCTTATATTTAAGACTATCTAAGTTCATCTTCAGACGCTTCGTAGCCAATAAAATTAACAGCTTAGCATCTGAAAATGAACTTAAATATAAGATTCGACTACGAATACCGGCATTAGTTTTTCTAACTACTTGTTTCTTCAAACATTTGAAGTGTAATAATCGAAATACATAAAATAGACAATATAAATAGATAATTGTAGTTTACTAAGACACAGAATGTTGTGTTTAACAACGATATTTGATATACAATATCAAATAATAATACCTAATACACGGATATAAATTAAAATTTAAATAAAATGTCGAGGTATATTTGCAAAAATAATTCATACCTGCTCGTGAGGCGCGAGTCAGAGCGTTCATCACATCTAAAGCGTTAATTCTCGACAATGCCATGGTCGAATCTGTCCGATGTGCTATGCACTAAGAATCACCAATGACAAGATCGAATAAATTGGAGATGCCAGACACGTAACCTTCGTCTGCCAGCTGGTCACAACTGCTACAACCTCGAACATGTACGCGATTGGAAAGAAAACGTGAAGCTGCAACTTTGAGCAGCAAGTTGTCAGACAGGCAGAGTGCTTTACGCGCATGCGCGCGTCGGAGGTAGCTCGATGAAGTATTCACATCGATAATAAAGATTCAGACAGTGACAATGTGTGTTTAGATTATGCGTATGAAAAAAACGGTACAGTAATCGTCGACTGATCAATCAAATTGAAACGAATTTGCTAGACGTAAAAAAAAAGCAACCAATAGCACTCTCGCCCTGCCTAGCGTCATCTAGCGGTGCTGCACCGAGAATTAATCGAAATACTTGTAATCGAGAAGATAATCGACTTGCATTTCGATTATCGACCAAAATTCAATTGACAACCTAACCTCCTCGTGTTCTTCTTCCGATGCAATAGTTTTACTTATATTTATACAATAACGATCTTGATCGTAAATATTATAATACGTGTTACAACAATATTCATTGTTAAAGTAATTATCAGATTTGACGGCTCTCTCTCTCTCTCTAATACGATGGGCAAGTCGAAAGACGTAAGCACAGAAGAGGAAATAAATTTAGGTAAATTTCTACACGATGTATTATTATTATTTGTGAACAATATAATTTATTCTCTGTGACTCTCTATATTGAAGAAATATATGTGTATCAGATACGAGCGATGTCCCGCCGCAGAAGAAACACAAGAAGCACAAGCATAAAAAGCACAAGAAGAAGAAGCTCATGCATGATGACAGCGATAATTTTGCCGATATCTCAGCTGATGTCGATAGGAAGAAAAGTTTTAGAATAAAAGTGAAGAAAGAAGATGAGAGGAGGTATCGTGTGAAGCAAATAGAAATTATTCAAAGTTCCCAAATTCTTATCATGTTTATCTTATTAATATTGATATTTATAGTAATATAGACAAACGAGAAAAAATATTAAAAGCATGCAGTTTAAATACACCTACAACAAGTACCGCGCCTTCTCCAAAAGCAACCACAAAGAAGAAAATTCCCAAAGGTAACAAGGGCAGAGATAGTGGCACCAGCAGTGAAGAAGAAAGATGGCTGGATGCTATTGAATCTGGTAAACTTGAAGAGGTATTTCGCTTGCATAGCCCAAGTATAAAAACTATTATCTGTGTCTTACACCATACCTACATGAACATACTTTGTTAACACTTTGACGGCTGTATTTAAGGCAAAAAATTTTAGCTAAATGTCAGCGAGATGAACCATTTGATTGGACCATATCTAAAGAGAAGAACGTCCTCCTTGTACATAAATCCGTAAATCTATCTATACATCCTTCATAATCCTCCATAATATTGCATAGTTAAATAAACGGTTGTTATCGACAAGTATTTTTGTTACAAAGCGGCAACCAATGACAGAAAGAATTCAAACATGTATGACAACAACCGTCAAGATGTTAGCTATAATAGAACGTAACGAGTTTATCTGAACATTTCTCCTCAGGTTGACGATGAATTAAAGAAAATTAAGCCAAAGGATCCCAAACTGATGACAGCTCGACAGAGAGCAATGTTTGAGAGGAAGACTGACACGGAGCCGAATCAAAGTGTCGAGCAGCTGATGTCATTACCGACTGGTTATAAGGAAAAAGTCATGACTGCGGAAGCTATACAGAAAGCCGCTTTGAAGTCTCTGAAACGAAAACAATTAGCTGATGAAAAGAGGGAGAAGGATAAGGTACACATTGCTTGTGGTTAAGTTTGAATTAACTAAACTTCTATAGCCAGTTAAGGGACAAAAGATGAATACGTTTCTCGAATTGTAGAAAAAGACAATGGAGAGACTGCTTAAGAAGCAAGAATCCAAAGCGTCCAAAGTCATCAGCAAAGGAAGATTGTCGAGGCGGCAAGTGCCATTGGTCACTTATCGTTTGACAATCGAGGGGAGTTCTATATCACTACCACCTGGTGAGGATTTCCCGCTTCGTTCTGCCAAGGAGTAAGTATAATAAAATTACATCTTCTCTGATGTTGATTTAACCCTAGTGATTATACAGAAACAGAAATTTTACTTATGAATCTTTATTTCTTCTTGCTTTAGAAGAAGTCCACCAAAGCAAATTCTCTGTGGCGTTGATCAATGCAAACAGCCAAAAAAATACACTTGTTCGAAAACCGGAGTACCGTTATGCAGTTTAGAATGTTATAAAGCCAATCTTCTTCTAGCGACTTGATGTAAACGGTATCTCAAGGCTGTATCTCAATATGATTTTATATCAGGATGAATAGACGACAAATTATATCGCGATACAGCCGAATGGTACGATAGATTAGAAATACATCGATAATAAATGTACATATTTATATGCGAATGTCATCTTTTCGATCTTCAAAATCTTGCAAATATAGCCTGCCAAATCATCATGATCTAATTGAGTCCTCTGTACAATGTACATTTAATAATCGATGAACAGAAACGATACACGTGTGTATGCGGCAGAGTCTTCGCACAGAAAGGCGATTATCGTTAAACAATCGCCAGCTGTCTTTCGCGCCTTAGATATCGCCGACTCTCGCTTTCCACAGCCGAGTGAATTTCTCAGAGAGCTTCGCTCGGCCACACGTTAGTGCCGGCGTCAGTCAAGCGGAACGTGTTTTTTTTTTAAATTTCCAAAAGAAGAAATTATCTCGCGCGAGTCGCTCGTGCAAACTCGCGCGATGGGAAGCAACATGGACGCCGACAAACAACAGTTTTGTTCCAATTTTCTGCGATGGTTTCGGCGAAAAATGGCGGCGCGCGGACGGAAGGTGGGAAGAAACGAGTAAAGGAACTGGCCTTTCTCCGCTTGCGTGATACTTCGCGTCTAGTCTAGCCTAGGCCTTGCTTTCACCCACTCGTAACCTCTAAATAGCGGGCCGTTCTGACCGTTCGCCGCGGAGCGTTCACTTCCTGGTCGTCGATCGCTCGCGAACCTATGTACGTGCACGCGCCCGACACCAACCCAGGAATTCTGGGCATCCAGCATGTCGAGCCTCTGCAGTTTCCTAACATTCGTATTCCTCTCCTGTTGGATCTCGGATCTATGTCGCGGAACGTTCGGTGAGTGAAACATCCCTTTTTTTTTTTCTTTTTACCACGAACGTGTTTTATCTTCGGAGGAGGAGACCGAGAGATCGTTTTTAATCTCGCAAATCGAGAAGTTATAATTCAACAGTGCTTAACAATCGGCGGTATCCCCAGGTAGAAGACATTTTTTAAAAGACGTCTGAAAAAAAGAATAGAACGCCCTTTAAATACCTTTAAGACATCTCTTGGCCGCCTGGGATGTTTATAAAAAGTAGAAGAATAAGAAATTGAAATGTAAGGAGAATAATCGATTGGTTTTTTTCTCGGTCTCCCTTCATATAAACGTATGCCGTACTGCCCATTCTAGATTTTGCTCATGTTTTTGTCGTCGACGATATGTCGATCGGTCTCATTGAAATTGTGGAATTTTTGGCGATCCGTCCGTTGCGTTCCGTTATTCGGCGGTTTCGACGATGCCGCCGCGAGCTTTGTTGAATGACGAAACGCTTATTACGTAGCTTCTAAGTATCGCCTATTTGTGTGTGGCTTAAACATTCCTTTTAACTTTCATAAAACAGATGACGATGATCACGAGTGCGCGCGTCCTTGTTCCGACGAGCGATCTTCGCGAAAGACATGCATCTACAACTTCTTCGTTACGGAAACGCAAAGCGCGCCGAGGTGAGGCGATGGCGATATATATATATATATATGTATGTACACGCTGCAACGGTAAAACCGTTCCTTTTATTTTACTTGTAAATTAGCGGATTCAGAGACACGTGTCAGCGTGAGCAAAAACATTCGGTTGAGTCGAAGCTCGCACTGAACGAGTTACGATTCGCGAATGGAATTTATCGCGAATATGAATTCGTTCGACAAACGACATTTTACAGCTCCCATAAAATTCTGCTTTCGCGTCGGTATGCGTCTGATTTTCTACCTCGGGCGCCGAAGCGAATTGTTGTTGTTCAGCAACAACTTCCTGAAAATTCGAGAACTAAATTCTAACGGTTAATCACGACCGACATCTTGGGAGCATCACCTGACGTGTTTCGAATACCTGAAATCATCGCCGAGAGCGCCGCCTACATAACTATAGGACTCACTATAAATCAAAGTAGACAGCGGACATCGTTAGATGCGAACATATCACCGCCGCACTTTTTCTCACCACGGCGTATTGACCATTCAATGTCAACGTTGCGTTCTTTTGCGATTTAATAGTTTTTGCAAAGGATCCGAGGACAAGGACGAGATTTCCATTTGCGCGAGAAATCGCAGCGCAAGATGGAGCCGTTTGGCGATCAACGGAAAGAGCCCGGGGCCGGCTGTACAAGTAAATATCCGCAGGAATTTCCTCGCGTAACATATTCGCCGGATAAATAAAATCAAAATAAATAATGTGAAAATAGAAAGTTACTTTATCGCGCACGCGATTGAACGATAATAACGAGCCGGTCTAGTTGCCGATCGTACATTTGCATGTATTATTTCTTGAAATAATCTCGCATAATGACCAAGGTAATTATAATTACCATTAATCGCTTCTCTTGATCACAATCGACATCGACGATCGATGGAATTAGCTGGGAGAGAAAGCGTTACGATTTATCAAAGAATATTTCTACAAATCATATGTATATATATATATATATATATATATATATTTTTTTAAAAGCTTAAAAAACCGGTTTTTTCCATTTTTTCGGAATCTGTGGCAGATTTTACAAACAAATTGAATTTTTCCAAAGGCATTTTTCTATCCTTGGATCGATAGAAATCGAGAAAATTTGCGGAAAAATAGGAAAAATTTCCAGGGTTTCTCCTCTCCGAGCTCTCTGAAAAGCACATGGTGACGTATCTTTCTGCGAGCAGGTTTGCCTGGGCGACACAATCGAGGTGGTCGTGCACAACAACCTGGGGAGCGACGAATTGGCCGTCCATTGGCACGGGATCCGGCAGAAAGGCTTCAACTATATGGACGGTGTGCCCATGATAACACAGTGCCCTATCTTACCCTTCAGCGGTTTCCGCTACAGGATAAATCCGGAAAGCGCGGGGACGCATTTCTATCACGCTCACTCAGGTACGCGAATAATCCCGAGTAACTTTGAGCAAATACGTCTCGCGTCTGCACGGACGAACGGATTCGAAGCTATTGATTCGTGAGTTTTTTAAACTCACGAATCTTTCGGCCGATAGATACGATTTGTCGATCGCTCTCCCGTCGTCGTAGACGACTCTTATCTGCGTAGGCGCGAAAATTTCACAGGTGAATAACAATAATCGAAAGTCTCATTTACGGATTACATCGGAGTCGCGAGTAAAAAGCGGTGTCAAGAGTTGCAGGGAAAACGCTCTCTCTCTCTCTCTCTCTCTCTCTCTCGAGCGCGTTCGCGCGGTTTCGAGCGCTTACAATCGACTCGCCCGAATTTGACTCCGGTCTACGCCGTAGAACGTCGTTCTGTCCCCGGCGCTCGCATCAAGAAAAGCAAGATCAATAATGTCCGTGGTCTCGAAAGAGGAGGAACCAGCGCGTTTTCCCGTTTCTCGACTCTCTGGTACCGCCGCCGTGTGATCGAGCTTCTCTCGCCACGTTTCATCGCGCTCGTGAAATCGTCCTCCTCGTTGGAATCGTGGCACGGATTCACCGACGAATCGTCCGAAATATGAGGTGTCGGTTTTCGCGCGTCGGCGATGCGTCGTCCTGCCTGCGTGTGCCCGCGCGAGAGAGACCGGAAATCGCTCGATCAGTTCGCACCTTCGATCCGGTGAACGGTACGTGACTGGTGTGTCCGGTTCTTCCCGTGGTATCTTTTCCTTGGCGAGAGAGAGAGAGGGACGAGTCGATACCGTGGAGCGCATCCCGAAGGACGACGCCCCGGGACGACGCGTAGTTCGCGCGGCTACGCCGGCAGCCCTCGAACGAACCAGCTCTCCGAGAACGAGAAAAATAAAGCTACGGGGGGGGGGGGGCATTAGTCTCGCAACAGGGCGACGGGGTGTACGGGTCGTTGACAGTTCGAGGACCACAAGATGACCCCGGTCTGGAAAGGATACTTGTACTGTCATCAAGGCCGGCAACTTCGCTGATACGACGACAGTCCCGCCTGCTGTATCCACCTACACCGGGCGAGCTCCTCGTAAACGGCCAGGTACCAACTGCTCTCTCTCTCTCTCTCTGCCATTATCTGCTACCCGTCTCTCGGGGAAAGCCTCGCTCTCTCTCTCTCTCTCTCTTTCTCACTCAGCCGGAAAAACGTATCGCGAGGATAATCGCGGCGTGTACACTCGAGCTGCACTCGATAACGCCGTGGAATTGAAATAAGAATATGTAGGCGGGAACCTCGGAGAAGAGCTATATATATATCCTGGATGTATTTTTTGCAGGCACAGGAATTAACGTTGCGGGTGAAACATGGGCAGCGCTATTTGCTGCGTCTCGTCAACGCCAATGCACACGATTGTCCCGTGTTGCTGTCCTTCCACGGGCACTCGCTGCGAGTATCGGCCGCCGATGGCAACCCTGTGCAATCGATGACGGGCACGCATGTCGTTTTATTTCCAGGTACGTTTCACACCCCGCCGTTTTTCCATCCATCCACCACCACCGTCGCCGCTTCCGAGCGCGCGCTTTTGTATCGTTGGGCGTATAAATCGATATAAGTGTTGCGCGTGTGTGTTTTTGTTTCGCCGCCGCTTTTGTTGCTCGTCGTTGATATCCGTTGCGGCTCGCCGAACAGAAATTGCGCCTCGAAAAATCTCGAGGAACCAGACCCGTTCCTGAATTTGTTCTCGATTGGCGAGAATCAATTCGAAAGGTCCGGTATATTTTGCGTATATTGTACGTGCCAGATTAATCGATCGTTCCCGACAATTCCCGATGAATACTTTCTTCATCGAATCAAGTGCTACCCTTTACATCGGAGTATATACGGTGGTACCATTTTATAGTGAACTCGGGTGTGGTTGTTCCGCAGACGGTGCGATAATGAAATAGCGTCGATTACGCTTACGTGACGTGAAATCAAGCCCCACGCTTCGGTCGGCTTCCTGCCGAATTAATTATTGCGAAAAACGCATGAAATGGGCACGATGCGCGGCATCGGCGCCTAACACGAGACAAAGGCGTGTTCCGTGCGCGAGAAGAGGAAGGAGAAGAGAGGCGAAGGGAGAGACCGATGCATCGGGCCGGTGCATGCACCTTCGCCACGCGTTGCTGATTCCGATCAATCTCTCCCGCACATATTCTCCAGCGCGACTACACACTCCCGTTTCAAACGAGAGAGAGAGAGAGTTTACCTAAACGCGTTCCACTGTGCGCACAGGAAGATAGATTTAAAAACGCATATCGGTCCCTGATCCTCCCCGGTACGTTTCGCCGACTTCTCGATTTAAATGCCGCTAACGCGAGTCTCATCGATTTACAGCTAGTCGCGGAAAGATCGGAGAGAGAGAGAGAGAGAGAGCAGAAAAAACGAAATAGATACGCGTCGAGAGAGCTGCGGAACACATTTCGGCGGGAACTCCTCGTCATACAGGATTGCGTTATAAGAAGAGAGAGAGAGAGAGAGAGAAATGAAGCGTTCTCAATAATTCGACTCAACCTTGACGCGTCGGTGCTCTTAACGCTCAACGGAGCGGACAAAGAAAGATCTCTCGATCCGGAGAGGAGAGGAGAAGAGAGGGCGATCCTCTCTCTCCCTCACAACAGCACGCTCGGTGCGCTCGACAACGTGGCGGAGGAGGCGGACGGGCGTCACGTTCGCGCAGACTCGGCCGTCTTCGGCCGCGCTCTCGCCGGGGTTTCCGCAAAGGGAAATAAAGAAAGGAAGGTGGCCAAGCGCGCGCGAGAGCCCCGCGCAAAAATCATTAAAACGCGTGCTCGTTTCGCGGCTGCGGCTTTCGTTGGCTCCGGGTCGCGATTTATTAGCGGTAGACGCGCCCGCCGACGAGAGAGAGAGACCGCGCGCGCTCCGGCCGCGACGCGTCGCGCGCGAGGCGACGCGCTGCCGTGCCGAGCGTCGTCGCCGCGAGGGAAAACCGTGAGGAAACCTCGTCGCCTCGTACATGTACAGCCACGGGCTGTGGGACGGCCTGGGCACTAGTGGGACGCGCGTCGGCATGGAGTGGACCCGCGACAAGACCCTGGAGCTGCTGCGCGAGTACCAGCAGCGGCGCGTCCTCTGGGACTGGAACGCCCGCGGCTACCGGGACCGCGCCAAGCGCAAACGGGCGATCCAGGAGCTCGCCGAGATCCTCTGCTGCAACACCCTCGAGGTGGAGAAGAAGATCACGAATCTCAAGTGCCAATACTCGCGGGAGGTGCACAAGATTCAGAACAGCCGGGACGCCGCGACCGGCCCGGACGACGTCTACGTCTCAAAGTGGTTCGCCTTCAAGGCCATGCAGTTCCTACAGTTCGGCTCGCGCAGATACAGCAAGCGGAAGAAGGTAGGCAGGAGGAGGAGTGTTATTTTCCGACGAGCGAGAGAGACTCCCCGAACGTTCTTATTGATTATTTTCTCATTTTCACACACACTTTCTTTCGTTTCCTCAATTTCGATTTCGAGCAGGGAAGTGTCGCCCTTGAGCCGGTCAGTCGTTCGTCGAGGATGAATTGTCGGCTGACGGAGACGACTTCCCCGATGCTCCGCTCGATCTTCCTCCGGAAAATCATACACACGCGTTCTTTCGAAGAGAGCTCTCGAACGGACGATGGCTCAACGATGGGGCAAGGTAAAACGCCCCATCGATTCCTTTGTACATGCACGATCGCGTCGCCGATCGAGATAAATATTTCGTTGGCTCGTGGCGACGCGACTTCCGGCTGGAGGCTCGAGTCGATATTTATCTGTGCCCGACTCGATCTGTAGCTTCCTTTTGTCCCCTTTGCCCTCGAACTGTGTCGTAACGGAACGTCGCGATTCTCTCGGCGACGAGAGACAAATATGCGTGAAAGTTCCTTCCTCGGCGCGTGAGATTGGCCGAGTCGTGCGAACGGTGCGCGATTTGAGTAATCGCGAGAAGCTGTGAGAGAGAAGTATATCTCTTCTCTGTCGCTGTCTCGCGTTGTTAAAACGAGAGAACGCGAGATTCCTGATCGAGCCTGATATCCCCCTTTTGCACAGAAAGTCGAGGTGTCGAAGCTGCAAGAGGAGTACATTGTCAGCGACATCGATCCGGAGAGCATTACGTTCATCGACAGCAACGAGGAGACGAACGGCTCCGGCACCGGCTCCTTCAACGCCTCGCTCAGCGAGGACGCTGAGGAGTCCTCGTCGTCGAGCCTGAAGGCGATGGAGTTGTACAACGGCTGTACCCTGCCGTGCAGCCCGCCCAACGAGGGGACGAAGCTCGAGGCCGACGAGAAGGAGCGGAAAAAGACGAAGGAGGAGTTCGCCAAGTTCGGCGAGAGCATCGCCGTGCAGCTCGCCGAGATCCCCGACTCGTACTCGAGGTCGGTCGCCAAGCTCAGGATCAATCAGATCCTCTTCGAGGCGGAGATCGGGGTGTACGCGCAAACGCGCCGCTAATCCCCTGCTTGGCCCACGGAAAAGAAAGAGAGACCACCACACCTACTATCCTCGATTCATCGTTCTAACACTTCGCAGCTACGGATTGAGGAGGAGAGTGAGAAGGCTCGGCGGGCTCGTTTTCCGCGTCGTTGCGAGACCCGTCGAAATAAATGTCGTACGATCTATGTGTTCCCCATACCCCCATTCGTTCCGCTTCCAAGCGCGTTTTCCGATAGTGAAAGATCGTTGTTTCTAATTGTCGCGCAAATATTCTTAGGAGGAGGAGGAGGTTTTGCGTGACCGTCAACACGGGAAGCCCATCCGACGATTTCCGATCGAGATTGTAAATCATAGATACCGTAGGTATTGAGCGGATCAATCTCCCGAATTCTGATAACGGAATTCTAATGAAGACTGAATCGATGATGAAGACTGTAGGCGATGCTGCTCCGAGACGAAGAGAAAAACACGCGTCTTTGTAAATGTTTGAACACGTCGAATAGGTCGACCTGTTTTACTTTCGAGGTTAATATCACTACACTTATCGCGTCACTTTTCGCGGGGAAATGAAAAAAAGCGTTAATATCGGTGTGATAAATCGTAAAGGACGACTCGCGCCAAATATCGAATTAAACTGATCGACGAGTGATGTGATAAGAGAATGTTCTCCTCCTGGCTGAGGCAGTATTTTTCGTTAGTTAATTATTGATTGGATAATTGGGGAAATTTAATTAGTAATCGGGATACAGGGTCGATCGGAAGGGAGTCGAAGTGGGGAGAAACTGTTTGTAAGGTCTAATGAATTCGTGAGCGACAACATTGTTACATTCTCGCAAGTGTATTCGCACCGATAACCGGCGCTCAGCTCTTACATGCCTATCTATATTCTTTCTTTATTTAATTAAAGAGAATTGCCGACGGCAAAATTTTAAATCGTCGATCAGCTCAATCGGTGGAAGTCGTCCTCGGTGTCCGTCGCCAATGTTTCCAATTAGACAATCGATCGTCCGTTGTGGCTCGATAATTCCCATTAATGCGGAACGTCTTTCGGCACGTAAGGAACTGTCGCGTATTTTTCCGACTTTTCGAAGAGTGAGACACGTGAACGCGAATTGACGTTTCGTGATGTTTCGTTTGTAAATCGTGTCGACTGGTTGCTTCCGACTTCCTGCGCGCGGGAAAAGAGAAATTCCGTTGGTGAATTTTTCCCGCCGGACCAGACGGCGAGCTCGGGGACCGGAAGATTCCCGCGTGAAATCGATCGTGGTATCTTCGTCCTCGATCGTTTTCTCGTCTCGTGTTAACAAAATACGCGCAATTGGTTGAATGCAAAGTGAGAATACGGTGTCTCTATACCGAGAGAAAAAAAGCGGACAAAATCAGCCTCGAGTACGAGAAAATATTGTGTCCACTGAACAAATTGACGCGTCGAGTTTGAATACAGTTGTCGTTGAATCAATTAACGACTCTTTATAGCAGCGACTGTACAATTTGTTCAATGGACTAAGCGTTGTGCTTGAAAACATAGTCCGTTCAAGCGAAATTTCTTCATTGATCGTATCACTTTTTTTCCCCTCAGTGTACGACCATCGTTTGATGCCATTCGGCACGTCACTTGTGTGTCGAGCAATCTTGCGCATCGCATTTTCATCGTGGCGAAGGTTAGCTGATCGGACAGCTTACTTTTGTCATTCTCGCTATGCTTTCAGATACACAGAGAAAAGGGTTTCTTTAGATCCAGTATTTCTATTTATTTGACTAAAATTGGTTTCATAAAAACAACGTATATTTACACGAAATATTGTTTGAGTGAAAATGTTATTGTCTCATTCAAAGAAACTCTATTATTTAACGCTGTTATTTGAAATAATATCTTTTAACCAAATAAAATATTATTTGGTTAGAATAAGTATGTAAGATGAAATGAATAATTTCTTTATAAGAAAATTATCTTTCGTTTCAAACAAATCTTTTATTTAAGATAAAGATACATATTCAGCGACAGTCACTTCCCGCAGTCATCGAATTTCCGCCTGTTCAGCCGCGATCTCTTCTTCCGCGCGGAAACAAAAGAAGAACGTACTACAATCCTCGATATCACTTTCTCTCACGTTCTAGATAAATAAATAAGTAGTTTTACGCCTTCGTTAGCGCTAAGGTCTTAAGTGTCCCGAGCCGAGGACACATAAACACAAGCAGCGGTGATTACAGGTTCAGGATAGTTTGTAATGCAGTTTTACTCCGATAAACGAGATCATCTAAATACGAATTACTATTATTAGCGGATATTAAACTTACGAGAGTCTCCTTTCGATACCGTTTCTATCGACGTTTTGTTATTTCGGGACCCCCTCCCCCCCATGAGTGCTCGCGCGAAACGAAGAACGAGAATTAAACATGAGCTCACGTAGCGTCCGTCGGCTCGAGTTTATTAAAAATATCAGTGGTGTGTATGCGTGTGTGCATATGCGTCGCGAAAACATTTAGTATTCGGTGGTAAGCGAGACTACGAAACTGAGCAGAGTAAATCCAACGTGCACGTTGAGGGAATTCATCGAAGTGTTGTACATTCAGTGTAATTTGATCGGGTCAGCCGAAAGACGATTATTTTGCGGTTTGGCGCCCATGTTAGTTTCCTTTCCTCGAGAGAGAAAGAATCCGGTAGCATCTTTCGCTGTAATTATTTCGATATATTTTATGTAAACTTTTATTATTATATATACGTTGAACTTTGTACACTTTTGTTCAATAAAAATTCTAGCGTTAACGTTACGCTCGTCGAGAATCGCTCGTCCGGTGTCTCTCAGACCTGCCATGCTTTGCCGGTATTTACTTGCAGATAGATAAAATGTAGAAATACGTATATAAGGATACCGTCCAAACAACTGGACGGTTTTTACCGCGACGAATTGCAGCCGTCAAATTGTTAAGAGAGTCGAATAATTGAGGGAATCGTGGAGAATCGATGTATGAATCACTGGTTGAATTTCTTTTCAGGCGAGAGACTCGACGGCGTTCTTGCGGCGGACCAGGCGATCGGCAAGTATGCGCTTGATGTACAGGGTCTCCGGGATTGCCGGGATATGCGTCACGAGACGTACATCTTTTACGAAGACGCGGCAACGGACTCGTACGCGTTAAGGGCCGCGAAAAACTTGGACGAGCGGGAACTTGAGATCGCCGAGAGCGGCCATCGCTGTCACAGAATATCGAAAAGTATCATTTGTTCGTTGGACCTGAGAAGCGCAAAGTTGTCGCAGCTAAAGGAGAAGGCGGACCAGACCGTCTACGTGCCCTTCGACACGAACACCTTCTCATTCACGGACGAGATGACAGATTATTCATACAACTTTTACATGTCGAGATACTATCCGGCCTACTTGAGTAAGACAATCCTTTCTATGTTGTCCTTTTCTGTCACGATAAGTGTATTCCATTCAAAACAGCCGGGCATACTTTAATCCCTCGTATATGCAGAATCGAACTATGTTAATTCTCTCACATTGATAATAAATTATTCGCTAATAATAATCGTATCTCTCCATCACTAGAATGTTTGTTTTCGCGATTGAGAAAATGTCAAGCATCCTGTTTCAGGCTTGGAGAAAGGCGCGGTGAAGATACCGCAGATCAACAGCATGTCTTTCAAGTATCCTTCGTCACCGATACTGTCGCAACCGGAAGACACCGTGAAGAAGTCCGTATGCAATCTCGACGAACGCTCTGACGAGTGCACCGACACGCCGTTGTTCTGCGAATGTTTGCAGCTGATTCAAGTCCCGTCGCGAAAAACGGTCGAGGTGGTGCTGATAGACGAAGGTAATTACTGAGAAGTTGAGTCGCTTCCTTTCTGTTGGCTTTGTTTCGGAGACTGTAGTAGATCTGTAGAAGCTTCCCAGTCAGAGACATTCAAAATGTCTTACTTACAGTTTATGACTATTATAATCGCGCCTAGAACAATCCGCTTCGTTCATTCCGTAATATTTGTATAACGTCTAATACATTATCGCTAAACTGTTCTGAAAATTAAGCATCCCTGCAATGTATTCGATTCCATCACTGTACTTCGCAACAGAATTACCACTTATAATTTTACACAGACGTATTTCTCTTCTGGCAGGTTTTGGTGGCAACGTGTCGCACACGTTTCACTTACACGGTTACAACGCTAGCATCGTGGGCCGGGAGAGTTTCGAGCAGCCAGTTACCAAAAACGACGTCGTATCCTTGGACAGTGAAGGGAGGATACACCGTAATCTCGTGAATCCGGTGCAAAAGGACACCTTCGTCGTGCCAAACAAGGGCTACGTCATCCTTCGTTTCTACACCGACAATTTAGGCGAGGATTCCTGTTAACTGTTATCGGACAATATCGAATATGGTTGACAATAACGATTTTTTTCCCCCAATAGGGTATTGGTTGTGGGAGGCAAGAAGCACTGCTGTATATCCTCAACTGTTCGGACCTGGAATGCAATTCCTGATGAGAGTCGGACTCCATCGGAATCTGCCGCCTGTACCGATCGACTTTCCTAATTGCGGGAGTAACAAGGGCATGGATCTGCTGTTTGAAAATACTTAATACCTATCTATGTTTAATGCAACATAATAAGTTACACTGAAATACTGCCACTGATTATACCAAATTGTTGTTGTTGTTAAATTAGGCTATTTTCTCTCCTGTTCTTCCTCATGTTCTCAAGAAACATCAGAATGATATTGACAAGGGACTGTGTATTTATAGTTAATTAATTTTGACTTAAAAAAAAATATGTATGTGCCACTCGTCAGTCGAAGAATAATACAGACAAAATCCTCCGTTGAGAAAAGCTGAGACTAAAGAATACATATGTCGCTTTTTAATTCCAATCCAAGTGTTTGCAGGTCAATGTCAATTACTTATAGATGGAATTTGTTAAATATTACGTGTCGATAAACTCATACAATCGTAAATTAATGACAAGGAGAAAATTGAGAAGCAGAATGTTACAATTAATTCACTGATAAATGTTCAATGGTTTCTAATTGCTCCATTTCAATCTTTTTTAAAGACTCGTATTGTATCCGTAGTCGTTCTAATTCCACGGACTTTTCCAAAATTAACGCCTGTAACAAGAATCAACTGAAATTGATCGATGTCAACAGGTATATATACACGTGTCACAGTTCCTTTCAGATTATCTCAGAACCTGCATTTGCTGCTTTTGGGACTCCCTTTGCTTGGCGACGGAACGTAATAGATTCCGTGCACCGATAGTTTTCATTTTTTCCTTCTCTACTTCTCGCGCCAGAGTATCCAATATTTTGATAAAGTCGTCCGAATTTTTCTCAAAATCCGTGATCTCTGCAAAATTTCCTATCGTTGTAACTCACACACAGGTTCTCAAGCGAAATGATATTTACAGCGAGAGCGCGATTTTTTTGTTAAATCAATCGTTTCGGAGCCGTGCGTTTATTTTGCATATGATTCTTCACACAAGGAACATAATTAATATGACTTACTCGAAACGAAATTCTCACATTCCTCCTTCAGTTTATTCGTTTGATTAGCCGTTTCCGGCTCTAGAACGCGTATTTTGCTTAAATCATCAATGTAAATGCCATATTTTGCCAACGAGTCGGACATTTTGTTAAGTCGCCACTAATGAACACAACCATGATTATTGGGAAAGTTGCAATTGAATTTCACCCAAGTTTTATTAGACGGAAAGCACGCCCGACCAGACTTTGAGTCATACTACTTGAGAAAGTACGGCCGGCTTTATCGTTCAGTCATATCACGTCCTCGTTAAGTATAGTGACGACTCGTAGCGGAGACTAAATTACAGAAATAACGGGTTTACGGCATCATTAGACCCGGAATCTCCGCCACTATACGTAAGGAGAAACTGGGTCGCGATATATCGACTAAACGACTTCTATTTCTCAAGTAGTACGACACAAGGGCTGGTCAGGCGTAATTTGACAGTTGTCAGATCGCGCATGATCGTCAATTAGGATTGAGATTGGATTGCAATTTAACGAATCAGAGGGAAATTCACCAAATTTAAGTTAAACTCACTCCGATTGGTGAAATCTCAATCTGAATCCTAATCCGTAGTGCGACAAGGGCCTCTTGAAATTGGTCGAGCGAGGGCGCAGACGTGGTGGGCACTTTCGCGGTGGCTGTCATTCGGCGCATCCGCCGTTAGTTCGCTGCGCCCGAGGTAGATCGCAATCAGCAGCGGATGCGGGAAATGGAGCGAGATGGTAGCACGTTAGAATGCGCGTCCTGTTCCGATGTCAGCGGACATAAGTGAGAGCGGTTCATCGACGCGACACTCGGCAGCCCCGCACATCGTCGTTTCGTCGCGGCCTCGGTAGTCCGTCGGTCACACGCTGCACCCGATTGCGCGATCGATACTCCCTCCTCGCTCGCTCCGGATCGTCCGTAATGTCGGGTGACCACAAGACGGTGATCAAGTATCCCTCGGAGTACGTGAAACTGAACATCGGTGGCTCGCTTCACTACACCACCATAGGCACCCTGCAAAAACATGACACGATGCTGCGCGCGATGTTCAGCGGGCGCATGGAAGTGCTCACCGATTCCGAAGGTGAATCACGATGGCGGGGATCGTCGCGAGTTTCGTAACAACGCGTTTCGTTCGAACGATGACTCGGAAATTTAACGATTCGAATCACTTTATCTCTCGGAGCTCGTACGATTCGATATCTCGTTTATCTCGGTGCGTACGATTTGATACTGTGTCGTGTCCACTCATCGCATCTCCTCCTCCCGTAGGTTGGATACTGATCGATCGCTGCGGCAAGCACTTCGGGACGATTCTGAATTTCCTGCGTGACGGCTCGGTCCCTCTTCCGGACAGCTCGAAGGAAATGGCGGAGCTGCTCGCCGAGGCCAAGTACTATTGCATCAGCGAGCTGGCCGAGTCCTGCGAGCAGGCGCTTCAACGGAAGGAGCGCGAAGCGGAGCCCATCTGCAGGGTTCCCCTCATCACCTCTCAGAAGGAGGAGCAGTTGCTCATAAGCAACACCACCAAGCCTGTGGTCAAGCTACTCATTAACAGGCACAACAATAAATATTCCTATACAAGGTGATATTGAACGTTGTTTTCAATAGCTTAACTCATATTTCACAATATTCATTTCGGAGAATATTATTGGGGGATATGATAGTTTCAAGTGAGTAAGAGTGGTCAACAATTTCTTTCAGAAATATTTCTTACGTGGAAATAATTTGCAGTTGTAGCGAGAGCGATGAAACTTAGCCGGCGTAATTAGCGATTAGTATTTCTAACAAATCTTTTCCGCCGAAGAAATCGTGCTGATACAAACATGCTGATACCTCTGTAGCACATCGGACGATAATCTGCTGAAGAACATCGAGCTGTTCGACAAGATGTCGCTTAGATTCAGCGGTAGGGTGTTATTCATCAAGGACGTGATCGGCTCCAGCGAGATCTGCTGTTGGACATTCTACGGACACGGCCGTAAGGTGGCCGAAGTTTGCTGTCACTCGATCGTATACACAACCGATAAGAAGCATACAAAGGTAAACATCGCGCGTTTAGTCATCGGTCGTCGTCGATCTTAGTGATTTTAGTGACACGTCTCCCTCCTTCAGGTTGAATTCCCGGAGGCTCGGATATACGAGGAAACGTTGAACATTTTGCTGTACGAGCACCGGAACGGCCCGGATCAGGAGCTGATGCAGGCGACGTCGTCGCGCGGCGCGGTCGGCAGCGCCCTGCCGTGTACATCCGACGAGGAAGAGGGCGAGCGTTCAGGCCTGGCTCGCCTCCGCTCCAACAAACAGAATACCAACTGACACACTCTTGTCAGTGGCAATCCGTCGCATCCCGCGATCCTTAGCGTCGTTCGCTCTTTTAAGATACGAGTCCATATAAAGTAAGACGAAACTCCAGAGACTGGGTGTAACAACGCTCCAGCAGCCTCGGCTGAATCTTCTTTCCCCTTTACCCCGTACGGCTATCTCTTACATCACACACACACCATACAATTCATACACCCTGTTCCAGTAATTTAACATGTAACGCAAGACGGAATGACAAATTCGTGTGTCTTTGAATTTCCTTTCCGCCACTGTTTCTTCCTATAACGAGTGTGTTTGTGTAAACGTGCAAATATAAGAATGGCATCTTGATATCATTCTCGTGAATCATGAAGAGAATGTAAGTGCGTCACGCGCTCGCTGTTCATGTGCCAAATCGTTATTAGATCCAAAAAAAAAGGAAAAAAAACGAGAATAAGCCAATACACACATATATATATATGTTGCCATTCTGCGTGACTGATGATAAAATTATTTATACTCTATAACAACTTTTAAGCAGTCATTTAGATTAATCAAATTGTTATGAAAAGGTTTTTGTGCAAAACTAGGACTGTGTTGTTACCTGTTGTAAGTATTATTATATTGTAAGTATTATTATTTTATTATTTTAATATTCTCATTTCTCATTGTCATCATCGTTGTCGTCGTCATTACTTTTATTATTACTATTATTATTATTATTATTATTATTATTATTATTGCCCTTATGTTTATTAGTTATTGTCGTTTATTATTCTTATAAATATCGTTGCGACAAATTCATCGCGTTCACTTACACAATACCTTTTCTTACAAATTTGTATAAATTTGATATCTCAATAAATCACTAAGGTTACACGTTTATTCGCTTATATTTTTCTAATATTGTCTCCGAACTCTCTGTTAACCTGCTTAAAGGATGATGTGGAGTAAACACTGCCAGTAAAGCAACATCTCAAAAGCTATCGTCAATTGGAAGCATAATTCCGAGGGATGTTTCTTGAACGCGCGACTTTGTTATTTCGAATCGAATTGTAAATATACTGATATGTACGTTACAATTATTTCCCCGACTCCTTGATCGAGTATACTTGGTACGATATATCTAATCTTTTGAATAAACGAGCTTATACTTTTTCCACTAATACACCGAGTCATTTGGAACGTAATTTTCTTTCAACCGTTGTCGCAATTCCCGTGCTTCTTGCAATGATAATTATTTTCTCCTTAACGACTTTCACTTACGCGACGAAATCCTTTCGAATGGCAATCAAAACCAGAGCGCTTTCATAGTAGACTCGAATCGATTCGATCTATTGATCGTAATTATGATAATGGAGATGCCACAGAGTCCCCTTTTTATTTTGTAATAGAATATAATGGAGATAATATAGATAATAGTGGTAAGTTCGTTCAGTCGTTCAAACATGTTAGAAGATAAGCGATCGTTGGTGGAGTGCGCAACAACTACAGACTTTTGAATGTTGGCTATACATACACGTATATATTTTCATCGTTGAGAACGTTACGATTCGTAATTCTACGAAGGGACCATGTGTATTGCGTTACATATCTACGACTGTTACATTGTAGAATGTCTTCATTTGTGTCTACTTTGTGTCACACACACACACACACACACACACATATATATATATATATATATATATACCGGTAGTCAAATTTACAAGAATTATATATCTTAATCATACATTCGTCGTATTTACAAGTAAATGCTGAGATAAAGGACAACTTGGGTTTTCTATAATTTCATGTAGCATAATATTCGTCTGATGAAGCGATGAATATTTAATTAATATATTGACAATTGGCCAAATTTGAAATATATTAGAATGTCCCGTGTTTCGGACAGAGTTTGTAAAATTATGTATATACATACATACATATATATATATATATGATTGAATCGAATATATATCTATGTTGAGTAAAATGATCGGGTTGTGAGTTTCCCTACCTTTGCGATCTCGGGAGAAGAGAAGAATTGAACGATAGAGAGTGAAAAAGAGAGAGAGAAAGAGAGAATGAGAGAATGAGAGTGAACATCAAGGTTGATTCGAGCGACATGTATATTATGAAACAAGATATTATTATACATAGGTGTATGACGGAGTTTGCAGCTAAAGACAGGGTGTTTGGGCGCAAACCTTTTCTTCTTGAGACGGAGTCGAATGTACATACACACGTGTTGCGGAGGAGGCTGTCAACCCCTGAATTGGAAAGGCACATCAGTTCATTCCGAGTGATACCAGATATCACGCCTAGTATCGTTAAAACGCTACTGATCACACCTTGCGAACGGTATTTACACACACACACACACATACAAGTATCGTAATTGCGCGTTCAACCAGAAGTTCGTTCTTCTAACCGAAGTTACCGTCTAATTACCAGCTGCGAGATTACACACGCGAGTATCGACGAGCCATATTTATATATATATCATAGCGGAAAGTCTCACGGATATCGCAAAGATGTCACAGCTGATCAAACCGGGTCCTAGCGTTTCAGTTTCAGTTCCCAAGTCAATCTCGTGTATCGATTTTCGTGCTTTTCAACTCTACACGTATTGAAATTTTCTTATGTATGATTTTGTTTTTTGTCGTGTTATGTGTGTGTGCGTGTATGTATATATTACAATTTCGAATGATCGAATTTTAGAATCGCAAAACAAGTATTGTGATTAGCGTCGGACAACATCAGTTGCTCGATAAAAATTCAATCGAACCGGCGTGTAATTGTATGTCAGACCAAAATATTACAAAGCTGGTTCCTTAAACACACATACACACGTTTTTTCATATTTACGTTACGGACAAGTACAAAGTGAGCAATATTACGCGCAAACGAGTGAATCGGAAGGCAAGAACATCTTTCATTTAACTACCGCAACGAGAGCCCGCTCACAAAGAGAACCTCATCGTTTTTCCAGCACAGCTGCATAAACCGTCGGTTTACTCCAAAGTACAACATGCTCCGCCTGCGTTTGTTCACCACGAGTATCTCCATTTCGTAACGTCGCAAAATATTTCATGCGTTCGGTTCAAATAGAGAAAATTCCGCGACTCTTCGTAATATCATAAGTAATTCCGCTAATTAATTGATATCCAAGTACCAAATATTGTAATAATAATATCTTGAGTTTGTAGCAAAATTTCTTCGCGATACCTTTGCTATTTCCCTGAAGAGCTACAGAGAGAAGAAGAGAATGTGTGGCCATACTGTGTATGTGTGTGTGTGCGCGCGCGTGTGTATCTATACAGGTATATATAAATTTACAAAAACATATTTTCGACATTTACGCAAGTTTCCGAAGAAATTTGGATCGTTCCGAAATCGACATAGGGCCCGATATGGCTTGACGCCACTTCGAGAGAAAGAGAGAGTCCTTTTTTCTCGTGTTTCCTTCCTCCCTCAACGTCGTTGGTAATATAACATCACAAATTGGTAACGCGTCATACAGTTGCCTTCGTATTACATAGTATAGTATTCGAACATCTTAAAACTATTCGCACACCCGTCATCCATTCAACACCGCTATATTATACCCAGGGATTCAAAAATAAATTCTATTTCGTAAAAATAAGAGAGATAGTGTGTATTGAATTACAAATATAAAGTCCTATAAGTCTACATTTATAAATATATGTACATTTATATACTATGTAATCTAAAAAACTCAAGAAATATATTCTTTGTAAGTGTAGCTGGAGCAAATGGGATGATACATGGAGTAGTTGATAGTAATTATCATTATTATTGAACTGAAAAAATATCGAGAGATTAGCGCATTTATGATTAACGTGACTGTGTCACGTTGTAGCTTCGAACAAATGACACAACGATACGAACGTAATCAATGATTGCATCCAGACGGGTCACTAATAAACGAAATGCAGAAGTTCTCTCTTCTTGATTAAAATAAAAAACGCATTGCACTCTTTAATTATATCAATATCTGAATCATTTTATTCGCCTTCAGTTCTCACAATTCGAAAAGTACTGCGATACTTTATAGTCCGAAAATACTATTAACTTAGAGAACCGAATAAGGAGCGAGAGAGAGAGAAAGAGAGAGAGAGAGAGAGAGAGAGAGAGAAAGGACAAGGATCGGGTGCGTACGGATAATAAACGGAAATCAAATTCAAAGGTAAGAAAAAAAAGGCAAATGGTGTGGACTTGAATTAATGTTATTACTCACATAAGCTTGTCAGTATCATTGCGTCATTGGTATAAAATTCACTTCGATCGACAAATGAATATATGAGACGTATGAGAACTAAAAGTGAAAGAGTAGAAACTACCAGTTTTACAACAACGCATAAAGTTCTACGAGAAAAATTTATACATTTACATTAAATCGTACGTTATTACTTATATCGTATGTGTATTCTCATAAATGTAGTACTCGCGTAAATGCTTCCGAAGAGGTGGGGGAGGGGGGAGGGTATACAAAAAAATAAAAACAACAACGGACGACGTGAAATCAAAGCTGCTTGTAGTTCCGTCAGAATCTCGAGCGTGTGTGTGTATTATTGCTGACTTGCTGAAGCTTGCGAACGACAAAATGTATTAGCCCGTTGTGTTGAACGTTTTCTCCGACACATACATTCACACACACACACACACACACACACACACACACACACACACACACACACACACATATATATATATATATATATATATATAACTAAACATTTTCATCAGACGATCTTTTAATACTTCACACATTCGTACATGTGGCGACACACACAAATGCCGGAGACACGCATGTAGATCTTCGAAGGAGGAGAAGAAGAAACGAATTTCTCTCCGTATGCGCGACGCATACCGCTTTCACGCACGCACGCACGCACGCACGCACGCACGCACACACACACACACACACACACAAAAGCACGGTGTCGTTCACGACAGGTAATTGAAAAAATCGCTTGCGTGTCCGTTTGCGAGAAAGATATCCGTATCATCCTCATGTGCTCCAAATCGATTTCAGTCATCTGCCATCAACGGTCAGCACTAACAACCTTACATCAGCGTTATATTTTCCGCGCACACCTATGTGTGTTAAACCGCGTGTAAGCGCCGTCGTGTTAAAGATTCGCGCCGTGTAATAGCGGCTAATTTGACATTTAAACTCACATTCGTCCGCTTAATCGTCCGGCGACTATCGCTCGATGACGCGAGATGTTACCCTTGCTTCATATAGCTGCCTCGGTCTTGGGGCGTTTGCACGGATTCATCGGGTTCTCATCCGCGGTACACTCGTTGTTCTCGCCGGCCGGCGAGACCGATCGCTTCCTCGCGGCGACCGTATCGTCGCTCTTAGCATCCTCGGCCACCTTCGGCAATCTGAACTGAACTATCACGGCGGTCATGTTGTCGCAGCCCGTCCCATCGCCAAGAGTGTCCGGTGCGAGGCAATGATCGAACAGCTGTGACACAAGTTGAATTTTTAGCGATAGGAAGAATCACGAGATCATATGAGAACATAAATGTATGTAACTTCAAAATCGCTTCTCGCTGTGATCAATAGTGCCAAAATCCCTTCGATTTCGATTCTGACAAAGCGAAATGAGGCTCGGCGAAATGTAGGAAAAGCGTTATTCCCATGTTGACTTATGCATCGTTTTTACCAACGTTATGAATTGAAAGGGGCGAAACGAGTTTGATGAGAAATCAATAAAACTTACATCACGTTACATACGGTGAAATATTATCTAACTTCATAAATAAATTGACCACCGTTCGAGAACTGAGATTTGCAGCTAAAGTTAACACCGTTTGAGAACTGAGATTTATAGTTAACACCTTTTACATGTGTCCTTTCCTAAGGTGTTATTTGTAATTTCTATCTTTAATGCCTTTCAAACTAAAGATACGGTTTTGATGAAAAATTCCTATGATATTAAAGATATGCAGACATTGTGTTATTAATATTAATATGCAGACGCTGTACAAAGTGGTCCCGATATCACATTATTCTGAAATGGGAATGACGAGATAAGTGCTGCGGCGAACGATTCGGACATGACGAAATTTATGAGTCACGCGTCGTACAGTTGATTCGTCAAAATCCGGGCTTCTTCTGCATCGGTATTTGCGATATTGTCATGTATCGCTATTGTCTTTGGACGTGTGGCTGCCGGTCCGAGAAAAGAGCATGCTTTTTGGATCGCTGCAAGCCAGAGGTCTACACGATCGTGGATTCCGCTCTGAGCGGCTGTGAGTTCGCGCGAATCTGCTGCCCAGGAGTCTTAATGTCCGTTCGCGGAATGATGCCGCAATTTAACATTCTCCCCGCGTGAAATAAGGATATATGCGCGTGACCACGTATAGAACGGATCACTACGACGTCGACTCTCTTTGAACGATAGTTCGCACAATCGGCGGTAATGCGACATGACGGAACTCGCCCCGTCACGTCTGACGAAGACGATGTCGCGACGCATACATTATCTTTCGGACATACCAGCCGTCTTCGGGGGACAGTCTACAATGTCGTTAAACGCGTTCCGCACGCAACGAAACCGGCAATTCCCGACACATCGACTTGACCGTCGCAACACTTTCGAAACCAGCGTCGGTTTTTTTTTCATGCGAACGAAACTATTCTCGTTCACTCCGATTTAATAGATAACGTGGCTCGCAGCCGCCACGTTGTCCTCGCAGGGTATTGGATGTATTCGGAATTTGATCGGCGACACGATCGGATGTAGTCGATTGCACAGCGACGCGTCGTTGGGGTCACAGTATTCAATTTCGCGATCAAACTCTCGAGGTATTTGCCGAGTGTCTACACTGGCACTGAATTTTTAAACTCATCAGTTTTTTGCTCCAATTTACGAACGAAGGTATTGATTTCTTGCGCGAAATCGTTAATTTTTTTCACTTTATCGCGACACGCGGATCCATTTCGAGGAACATGGCCGCGCATTCTTCCAATTTGCGACGCGCTATTGCACAGCCGGTCGGTCGGCCTCGCGACCAGCAAACGCTTGGGACGGGGCAAGGCGAACGTGGAGTAGCGTTGGCCATCCTGAGCCTGAAAATTTCTAATCCGTTATGCGCGCGGTCACGTAATATATATAGCTCCATTTTATCGCGCTCGTCGACGCAATCAGAGCTTCCACCGTTCCTTATCGCTTCGAGCACGGTCGTTACGTATCGCGCGCGTTTTGAGATAAGACAGACGCGCGATAAATGCGACGTGCCTGATCGAATAATGACTGGCGCTTTGACCCGCGCCTCGTCAGTCGCTAGGCCGTCCGTGAGTTTCCAACCAGATCGCTGTGTACCCAACATTCTTACGGAGACCCGAAAGGGCTACGAACCCTGGACACAGCGGCGCAAGTAGACCACGCGTACGCATGATGGAACTTGCAGCAACTCGTAGATTCTTCGTCAGAAGGATGTGATCTCGGGACCAACTTTGTATATCAAATATCGTATCCGCATGTAACTCATTGCGCAACCGTGATGGTGGATTTCTCGCACGGTTCATATCTATTGATCATAGCAGACTCCGATTTGTTAATTACGACGTGATTAGTCTAAATTGAGCAATCGGGATTCGCTGTGGGTAATCGTAACGTGGTAAAAAAACAGGACATTGCAAAAAAAAAAGAAGAAAAAAAAACATAAATCCAAATATCTCTTTGATGACTTTTTTTAAAGAATCTTCCAAAGTGAAAAGGGATTTTTTCCTTTAGAAAAGTAGTTTCGAAAACAATAAAAAAAGAATAAAAACATCTTAAAGGAAGGAGCATTAAAGACGCACCTCTTCGCAGATCTTGGACAGGTTCTCGTAGTTCTGCGATAAGCGAGAGCGCACGAACTGGACGACGCTCTGACTGGACATGAAGTTCCAGATACCGTCGCACGCGAGCACCATGAACTCGTCCCTCTCGGGCTCGATCGTCACTTGCCTCACGTCCGGCAGCGCGGAAATCATTTGTTCCTGGGGCGGCAACACCACGTTCTGTTTGTACGCGTGATCGCCGAGCGCCCGGGAGAGATTCAGACCGCCGTTTACCCTGCCGTCGCTCGTCACCTCTCCGCCCGCTTTAACTATACGCTCCATTTCCGGCTCGTCCTCGGGCTTGTGGTCCAGACTGAGCTCGACAGCTTGGCCGTCTCTGCAGAGAACACAGCGGGAGTCACCGGCGTTCGCCACGTATAGTTCGTTTCCCTTGAGTATCGCCACCACGGCCGTGCATCCGCTGTCGGCGCCGGGCTACGAAAAGAGGCATCGAATGAAGAGAAATGGCTGTATCTCGCGAGTTTTTACGGAGACAAGTTTTGACAAGTTTGTCGCGGGGAATCGATATTACATATACCTTCTCTGTGTTCGTCATGAAGTCGTCGGCTTCGTCGTCGGAGTCCTCGTCCATGCCCTCTTCCCCCTCGATCTCGTCGTCGTCGCTCTCGTCCTCATCGACATCTTCCGTGTCGTCGCTGCGAAACAAAGTAGATCTCAGTTCCATCCACGCGAATATCGATCAAACGGTGATTACGCAGTGTAAATTGCTTACCTCTCGGGAACGCCGTCGAACGTCTCGTCGTTCTCATCGTCGTCATCGTCATCCTCCTCGGAATCGTCGTGATGCTTCTTCAGCAGACTTTGGTAGAGATCCACCGATTGGATTCTTCTCCGTCCGCTGCTGGTTATCCGCTCCTGCTGGCCGGCGTCCCCGTTCTCCACGGGTGTACAGGAACTGCTGGACACATTGTCACCGCCGCCTTTACTACTGTCCGCGTCCTCGATCCTCTTGGTCTCAGCGCCGTTCACGCCGTCCGTCGGCTCTGCCGCCGGCTTGACGCACGCTGACGTCTTGCTGAGACTCGACACTTCCTCCTTCACGTCCCCCGAACTGTCGGGCATGTCCATAGACTTGGCGGGCTCCAGGTCCGCGGTCGAGCCGACCGGTGTGGACGCGTGAGAATTGCCGTTACTCGTCGTCGAGTCCAGCACCTGTTCGGCCTCATTGCTCGCCGGACAGTCGTCGGTATCCTTACGCTCCACCGTGCTGGACGAACCGCACGGCTGACTGGAACTACTCACGTCCGTCTCGTCGTTCGTATTCCAGGGAGCGGTGACCAGGCTCGACTCGGCGGCGGATGACAGTGGCGGCGGCGGCGGTGGTAAGAGGAACGACGGTGAGGACGAACAGCCAGCGCCGGACGACGAACAGCCCGGCTTCTCCCGTCCTCTTCGGCCGCGCAGATACGGGCTCGCGAGGCAGGTGCGTTTGCATTTCTCGCTTCCCTTCGGACTTTTCACGTGAGAATTCGAGATCTCCGATTGCTGATACTTGGCCATCACCTGCTCCAACGGCATCTCAGCCTCCATACACAGATTACGAACATTCTCCTCCTCATCTGTACGCAACGTAACGCACCAAGACAGGTTTATTAAGAGTTTGCACACGAGACTAAGCGACGTGAACAAAGTAGAGCTCGCTAACTGTGCGACCTTTACGAGGGTATAACCAGTAACAATGCATATCTCTAATAGTGAGAGAAACCCACCGGATTCGTTCGAGTCACCCTCGTTCTTGTCCGATCCGGCACCTGCGAGTTCTTTCAGCATATTCACCACTTCGGGTTTCGTTAGAGTAGCGTCGAAACCCAAGAAGGCGTCTATCAGAGCTTGTGCCACGTCACCTCTCTTGTAAGCTTCGGTCTGCTTGATGAATTCCGGTAGATTGCGTGCGCAATACGTCGCCACTTCGTGACCCCCGTGGCCGTCGTATACGGCGAATAACGAGGCATCGTCGTCAAAATTTATGCAACAGTTGTGTGCATCCTACGAACAAACCAAGAATCTGAATTCTCAACGATCGCTTCGTTCTCGAACCTACCTAGGAGGCTCTTGGATTAAGGAAAATCTGAGTTTATCAAATGATTAAGTTTGCCTCATCTCGTTAGCGATGACAGATTTCACAAGACACTGCAATTACTATGCACGTAAAGCTTGTCTCAACAATGGAATAAATATTGACATTCTGTAATATGTATATAGAGAAAACAACACACTATAGGTACAATTGTATATTGTATGTACATATATATGAGGTATAGTACATATATATATAAATATATATATATATAACAGGCACGCACGCACCAGAGAGACATTACCGACCAAAATAATAGTCGCTGTGAAATATCGGCCAATTTGTCGCGAATATCTCGTTCGGTTGGTAAATAAATATTGGTTAACGCGGCCGGCGAAGGCGAACAGTCGCGGGACTCACGGGCGTCGTCGGTCGCTCGCCGTTCAGAGCGCGTCGACGAGGGTGTGCTCGTCGTTCCGATAGCCGGTCGACGACGAAGCGCGAAAAGCGTGGACCGGCGGGTCGCGCGGCCGAGATGCGGGTTCGCCGATGACGCGGTAAAAGCGCGCGCGCTCGCTCACTCGCGACTTCCCGCTTACCTCCTGACTGATGCGCCAGCCCTGCATAGAACTCGCGCCGTACGCGACGTTCTTGCCCACCTCGTCGCTCGAGATCTTCTTGGTAATCGGCTCCGACAAGTACGCTCCCATCTTTCGAGGTACCGGCTGCCCGCGGCGTCCGCGTAGTATAAATCCGCAATATTCCGCCACAAAACAGAAATTCACAAGCGCGGTGCGTGTAGCGACTTACTAGCCTCTCATGACCGGTTTGGCTTTCTGTTTTCCAGCGCGCCGCTGGCGCCAGCTGGGCCGCCGAGCGGCCGACGCGAGGGCGCATGCGCGCCGGCCGTGCTTTCGCGCCAAACCTAAGAGGACGTGCGCATGTAAGCTGCCGGCGGTTCGCGCATTCCCCTCTTCGAAAGTGTCTATAGTCAATGCACTTGCCGGAATTTTTCACACATATTTCATATTAATATATTATTATACGTTTATAAGATATATTTTGACGGTCGGATACTCAGGTATTCGGATATCTTCTAGATACTTCCATGACGTACTTCGCCATGCGAGTTGCCTACGTGAAACAAATCCGCGCGGACAACGCAATACAAGTTATTCGTGTTGAAATTAATCGTAAAATCTACGGCCTGCAATCCTGAGAACATGGAATGCTCACCGAAGCACGTTGGGCGTTGGAAAATTTCGCGCCTGTGGACGTCCGGCAGATGTCGCGCGCAATCGCGAGCTTGGTGGGAGGCAGTGCGCGCCAGGACAAGCGCGAGCCTGTTACGGACGGCTCGTCAGTTGTTCGGCGAAGCTCGGAGAGGTTAGGTCGGGCCGCGTTCCTCGGTGAACGTTCGGGGCTCCGAAACGCCGCGACGACGACGATCGACGCCGAAAACGGATATACACGCCTCGGAATCACGGCGATCGCGCCACGCTTCGCTCGGCTGAGAATCTCCCTCGCTGGCGAGTGTCCTCCGCTCCGGGGGTGACTCTCGTCGCGCGCGGCCTCATCGGAGGAGGAGGGGGTTAGTGTCATCGTCCGACTCCTATCATCGCAGCCGTCCATATATCGCCATCGTGTCTGTCATCAGCGGCCCAAGGAAGCCAGCATCGGCCCGACCAAGAGGTATGTGAGCACTTTGTCACTCGCGCGACGTTCGCTGTGAAGAGAGAGAAAGAGAGCTCGTCTTCGAGATGTTCGATATGGCGTTGGTGGGAGGGGGTTGGCTATCGTAGTACGCACGCACCGCGCTAATTCGGGGCGATTAACGTGTGTCGCGCGGAGGAGAGTCTCTGTGAGATGAGCCTGATGAGTGCAGCGGAGACGTAACCTCGCGGCCGGCGTGTCGTCGTCTTCCGACCAACGGGTTCTCCATCGTATATCGATCTCTTGAGAAGCGGCATCCCCCATGTCCGCGAATTTTCACAGACGATCATAAACACGCTGTCCAGCGCGTGATGTTATCCCTTGTTTATGAGACATTCGCCGTGCGAGAACGATCGACGAAATTCTCGTCAATTCGAAGTTTTCGCGCCAATTGATCTGTTTTTTTTTTCAGCCGAACTGGCTGTGTCAATTCGAAAAATTTACGCACACTGAGAAGCGTGAGAATCGCGTATGTACGCTTCGTATTCTTCACACTCTCGTGTGCGTGTAAATTTCGTGAACCAATTCAGCTGAGAAGAACAGACCTCTTGTGGCTGCGCTAAAAAATTTACATACATGCGCTTCTCAGTGTGCGTAGATTTCTCGAACCGGCCAATTCAGATAAAAAGGAACAAATTATACGGCGCAAATTCTCCTTCGACGCGGCGTACACATCGCTGCGACGATCGTTGCGATTCGTGCGAGGTATTAAGCGAAACGAAATGAATATATCTCCTTACAGCGAGTATATGTTTGCAATTAAACTCTTTCCCGAGCGTTTATATCCGTTATCACGCGAAGCGGTTAGCAAGCTATTTAACTATCGCGTATCTCCGTTCCGTAGAGCGACGTGTCTGACTCGGCACGCCGTCGTCCACTGCCGCCGCTCCGAAAGTCTGTTTCCACTACTGTGCAAACGGTCGTTGATCTCTAATCGTGCAAAATACCGCCTCGCTCGGGCTTCTCCTATTTGCGGTGAAGAAGAACCTCCACCCCTCTCTTCCCCTCTCGTGTGTAGCGTAAGGTCTATAATTCGTGAGATCCGGGATGAAATTCCGCTTGTGATTCTACGCGCGCGGAAAACATTCGTGAATTTATCGGCACGCATGCACGTGCGTTCCTGCACGACCTGTAATAATAATTAATAGTAATGTCCGTACACAATCTCTGATAATACCGTCGAGCAATCCCCACGACTCTCTCTACGCGCGCGTTCTCCCACAGGGGGATGGACCTGTGTCTCGAATTTTGTCGCTCGAATTCTGCATTATCGCCTTAAGAGTGAATTTAAGGAGACTGGAAGAAGAGCGCTACTCTTTGCACTTTGGGGAAAAAAAAAGGATCGTGACGAGCCAATAAACGCGTTCTCCTCGCGAGGGAAGCAGAATTTCCAGTTCCTGCCAACTAAATTCGGCTCTTAGGGCGAAAAATTCCCTTCGATTAAAATGTGCTCGATTCAAGTTGCGTTAATTCAACCAATCTTTGCAATACTTAGCGATATTTGCAACGGTTATTGGCGAGTAATTGCACGGTAACTGTTCCTAATCTCATCTCTCTCGAGTACAACGCTCGTCGTCGTTTATCCGATCGATGTCTCAAGGTGACGCGAGCATTCGCGGTAGATAGATAATTCGAGGACATCTGGGAATGAATTAAGTCGTACGAAATAAGACGTAAATTGCGCGGATGCACATAGCGTGCTGCGCGCGCCGCGAAAGATCCGTTCAATTTGTTCGCGCGTCGTTCCCCTCCCTCCCGCGACAAGTTGCGTTTATAGCAGGACGATGGCAAGTCTCCAAATGCGAGGCAAGATGAGCGTACACAAGCTTTACACGACGTCGGTTTTAATTATCCACCGATTTGATCCGCGCACCTGCAAGTCATTATTCGCTCTGTGCAAGCTGTTGCATGCCGTGGCCCACGTATTCGGATCGATAAAGTGCGTCCAGAGATACGTCGAGGAAAAACAATACGACGTTTTGTTTTCTTCCTTCTAAAGTCTTGTTGATGATATAAAATGTATGCGCGTATAATGCAAACCAGCTTTACAAACTCACCTCACCTCCTGTAACCTTGACGTATATCCATAGAGGTCGCCCTCCCGACTTTTCTAACCATTGACGGCTGTTGTTCATTAAAAAGTTATCAACAGAAGAAGTTTTATTAATAAGACGTAGTTTTCCTGGAATTATCGTGCATATCCAAGGGGAAAACATGCGGTTACGTACGAATATCTTTCCGAGTAACGTTTTAACTGTCGCTCATTCATTAAATACGTTTATTATAAAGTTACTAACAAAAGATCTTTCATAAGTAGGACGTATATTCTTCTTGACACCGTACAGATAGAATTTCTATAAACAACTTATGTGAAAAGTTACCTCCTCACTTCTTTCTGACCATCTTAAACAAACAAGCGAGAGAAACGATCGGTTAGCTTCAACTATATTCTGTGGGATGATATTTCACAGCAAAGTTCAGATGTCGGTTCGGTCGATTCACAGAACAGCCTAATCCCACATGTCTCGCGTGGTAGGTTCGATAACAGAGAATAGAAATTGGCACAAGATTCAGAGTGATTTGAAAAATTCAAGACTCACGCTGCAAAATAGCATTCACGATCGAATAAATTACTCATCGCTGACAGTTTTAACGTTTTTCCTCTGTGTTATCGGTAACGGATCTTCCGAGATTGTTTTTGCTCGCGTAAACGCTTGGAAAGCAAAGCGCCGCCCGGTGTTTACAAGACTCCTGCAAATCGCAGTAACGACGTGTTGACTCGCATCAACTCTTTTTTTTCCTCGAGGACGGAATCGGTGGAAACAACGCGGACATACGACCGATTTAGAATTTCGCCGTATTCAGAAACGGGAATAGAAGAGATCCGGTTGTCCAATATGAGAAAATAATTCGGAATTGTAGAACCACTGATATTTACGGACGTTTGACCTTTGCTATTCTTCCCGCTGGCTTTCCCGCCCGCCTTCAGAAGCATTAATTAACGGTTGGCACTTTAATAGGTATGAAGCTCCGCGTCGCGAGCTCCCCATGTTATTACAGTATCGTCTCGCAAATCATGTAAACTAGCTTTATTGTTCCGCTGTGCGCGCGAGCTTCGCGTATCGCGAAAATTGCACGGTTGCTGTGTCGCGCGCGCGCCGTGTTCGCAAAATTAATCAAACCTATTTGCGCGAATATGTTTTTCCCCGCATTTATTATACGCGAAACACAACGAGCCGCAACGACGACGACGCCGCTGTCAGCGGTGGCTCGGATATTGATAAAAATATGCGCGCGCAATCGAATTGCGAATTAATCTCGACAAACACGAAAGTTTGAATTGCATTCGCGTTTTCCTATTAAAATCCCATTCGTTATTTGTTATTTTATCAGGCCCATTATTATTTCGACGAATTTGCATCGCGTGCGCGCATTGGTTCCGCGCGATTGTTAAGCTAAACATACACTTTGTCGCCGTACGAAAATCCCCGCATCTGTAATTCCTTGTGTTTTATTTCGCGAAGAATTGTAATACTCGTAGTGTTGTTCGTGAGAATGATTAATTAAGTCTCCGTGTCACGCGACACGGAGAGAAGAGAGAGGAGGTTTAAAATTCGGTACAGCCTGGCGTTCGTGAAAATATTCAACGAGCTCGCGTAAGACACGAAATCCGCTTTCCTACAACATCCGCTTCCTACAAAATTCGCAAACTAAAAACGATCCGCTTCGAACGTCCGATCCACACATACACACACGTGAAGCCTCACGTTGCGTGAGCTTCGCTATTGTCACGAAGCTTGCTGTGAACTATAAACGATGTAAGGACACGGTACCGTTCCTACCTTCGTCCTCCTGATCCTCCGAAAGCCCTGGGATCTGCAGGAACAGACGAAAGGTCAATAAGAAGAGCAGTTAGCACGAATATTCAAACCACGCGGAAGATAATATGTTTTGACAGCGTGACAACGCACGTCGAACGATTTCCAGGTGGAAATCCATACTTCCTGCCTCCTGTGTAATTATTTCCTTTTCCAATTACTTAATTGCGCGTTTCCTTCTTCAATATTCGATGCGTACGTTATCGCACTTTCAAAACATAATTACTCTCATAGTTTGAATATTCTCCCTGATAACCGCGAGCGGGTTTTAAGCCCGTATTAATGATTCTTGCTCGAGACTTGTCCTACGTGAAACACTCAGATTCGAATTTAGAGCTAGATCTGAGTTTTTTTTCAATTAAACCTCTTACGATGCACGCAACATTACACTTGCAATTGCGATATTAAATCGTCAAATTCAGATCTAATTCTGGATTTACATCAGAGTATCTCACTTGAGACGAGTTTCAAATAACGACTATTAATACGAGCCCTATTGATTTTTCGTTTTTTTTTTCCCCCGGTCATACACATTTATTGGAGAGATACTTTGTTCTGGAATCGAAAGTTTTAGATGGCTCCACATTGGGCTGTACTTTAAAAACTGGAAGGATCGAGACACACGTTTGAAAAAATGTATCTCTTCAATTCGCTAAAATTGGTTCCGGGATCTTCGAAATGTACGGTAAAAGAGAGAGAGAGAGAGAGAGAGCTTGGTCGAAACAGAGGTCGAAAAAAAGGGGTTAATGCTTTCCTGAGCGCTCGCAACGTCGTCGTATACGCTGTACGTCCGCGTCGTTTATAAAGCGGGCGGGATAAAAGGTTTAAAGAGGACGGTCGCCAAGTATCGAGGAATATTTAAACTTGGGACGCGGGGCTTTTTCGAAGGGCGTCAGCCTCCGAAGTTACCGGTACGTGACGCGCGATCGTGACGATATAAAAGTAACTTGCTTCCAATCGAGCATGGGGACACGCTCTCTCCCTCTCTCTCGTGATCCTCTGGCGCTTCCGTCCAGTGTATACACGTGCGTGTACGAAGTTGTAAGGCCCGGGCTTTTCCCCCTACCCCATCTCTTCTTCGTCCTACTCCTCATCTTCCTT